GCTCCACATCCCTGTGCAGGCCCCCGCCACGGCCCCGGGCCGGTCCCATCGCTCCTGCTTTTCTTCCAGACGATCGGGGCCGCCTTCGTGGCCAAGGTGATGTCTGTGGGGGACCAGACGGTGACCCTGGGCATCTGGGTAAGCGCAGGGGCAGTGCCAGCACCCCAGCACCATGCCCGGCCACCCCCCTGACATGAGGGGACCCCCAAAACCGCCCCCCACACCTGAGCGCTTCCCTGTCATCCCCCAGGACACGGCCGGCTCGGAGCGCTACGAGGCCATGAGCCGCATCTACTACCGTGGGGCACGGGCCGCCGTCGTCTGCTACGGTGAGGGCACAGTGCTGTGGGGTGAGGAGGGAGCTGGCGGCCGTGAAGGCCACGGGCTGGGGTGGTGGCGGGCAGGCGCATGAGGGAGGGGGCAAACCCTGACCCCTCTCCCCCAGATCTCACCGACAGCAGCAGTTTCCAACGTGCCAAGTTCTGGGTGAATGAGCTGCAGAACTGTGAGGAGGTACGGGGGGGGCAGGGGGGCCATCAAGCCTCGCTGGAGGGCAAGGGGAGCTGGTGGCAGTGCTGGGCCTGTCGGCACTTTCCTCCTCCCCCCTCTGCCTGCCACAGGGCTGCCGGATCTACCTGTGCGGCACCAAGAGTGACCTCCTGGAAGAGGACAGGAGGAAGAGGGGGGTCGACTTCCACGATGTGCAGGATTACGCTGACGGTATGGCCGGGCACTGCATGGGGCCAGGATGCTCGCAGCTGGGCGGTGACAACCCTTCCTAGGCTCCCCGGTGCGGAGCGAGGGGGGAAAAAGCTGCCGCATCTGTGTGCGCCTGGGATGCGCGAGGGGCTCTGCCCTCGTCCTGGTGGCTCCAGGGCTCCTGGTGCGGTGAGGCATCAGCTCTGCCAGGGACCTCCCTGGGCACAGCCTGTCCTGACACAGGCAGGGCAGCAGGGCAGCGAGTGTGGGGCCCTGCCCTGGCCCCTGCTGTTGGCCGCTGTGCTCAAGGGGTGACTCCAGAGGGGGGAGCTGAGCCCATGGGGCCATATCCTGCACCTGCAGCAGGCACTAACCCAGGCCCTTGTTTCAGAAATCAAGGCAGAGCTCTTCGAGACCTCTAGCAAGACAGGCCAGAGTGTGGGTGAGTAGCCCTCTCGCTGCCAGCTGTGCCCCTGCCCAAGCAGGACCTGGGGCAGGGGGGGAATCTGTGCCTGGTGGTGGGGCTGCCCACAGCCACCCTGCCCGTTCTGTCCCCAGATGAGCTGTTCCAGAAGGTGGCCGAAGACTACGTCCACTTCACTGCCTTCCAGGTGATGACAGGTGAGCAGGCAGGACCCATCCCTCCCCAAATACCTTCTCCTGTGCCAGGGGGTGCACGTGCCCCTGGAGAGGGTGCGGAGGATGAGTGCTGCTGGGTCTGACCCTTCCTCACCTCCCTGCTCTCTGGGGCTGCTGCGGTCAGGGATTGTCCTGCAGAGCTTGGGTCCTGTCATGGCGTCATCCCGACCCAGGCCAGGCTCAGCACGTCTGCCCAACTGGGCCACAAGTGGCCTTTGGCAAACAGGCAGCCAGGAGCTAGGACTGGCTCTCAGCCCTACACCAGGCCTGTCCAGGCGTGCTCAGCCGGGCTATGCCTGCAGCCCTGGGCCATGCCGTGGCCATGAGCCTCACTGCTGCTCTGCAGGGGCACTGAACCCCTCCCCAAGGGACCCGTCAGGGCCCAGGCCTGGGACCAGCAGCTTTTGGGCTCCCACACGGATTCCACTTCACGGGGTGGACGTGCTGGCAGCCTGCCACCCCTGCTCTCTTCCAGAGGAGAAGGGCGTTGACCTGGGCCAGAGGAGCGGTGCCTACTTCTACAGCTGCTGCCACCACTGAGACCTCCTGTCAAAAGGGAACTGCTGCTGCCAGCTGGGCAGCCAGCATGTGCCAGACTCCTCTGGGTTTTTACCTGCTGTGTTTTAGCTGTACGGGCCCGTCCGCAACACAGCGGCACTGCAGACTGCTCTTGTCCTGGTGTGCGGGGCGGCGGAGGGCTGCCCTGCAGTGCCAGGAGCCTCCTGCGGTGCCGGGAGCCGCGGGCTGTCACCCCTGGGGACCCTCTCCCTGCCAGCCGGTGTCTGCGGGAGCCACTTCCCCCCCGTCACTGCTGTGGCCCAGCGGTGGCTATTAACTTATTCTCTCGGAGATGCTGCCTGATTCTTTGCAGATTTATTTAAGCGTCTTCTCTCGTGTACAATGTAAATAAAACGCATTGTGGTCTGAGCTGTCCCCTGCCTGCAAGGCTGTTGGGGTTCTCCCCTCCCTGCCCTGGGTGTCTGGGCACAGCCAGGCTCCCCCCGCATCCCCCGCTTGGTGAGACAAACAACAAGAGGACGTCGAGAGTAAAGTTAAACTTTACTTTACAGTAATTTTTTTTCTTCTATATACAAAGAATTACAGTACATGTTCTGGGAGCACCTGGGCAGGGCCACCCTCATTTCATTATAAGTTTCACATACACAGCCAACAGTCTAAGGGGAGCAAAATGAAAGTAATCAATGGTCCAAGACTCTCCCCTCTCCCTCTTCTAAAAATAATATACATGCTGGAAATATGTAGGTTTCTCTCACCTGGCATCTCCGCTTGGAACTGACAGGTGAGTCCCAGCCAGGGCCAACCACCCCTGCGTCCCCCACAGTGCTCACGCCGGCCACCACCCCAGCACCCGCCCGCAGCTCCGGCCAGCCCCCGCCTCAGCCAGGCACCTCAACTCCCACCGTGTCGGGGGGGTGGGACCCTGAGGGGGGTGGGATCCTGCGGGGAACTCCCCTCTGCTGCAAACAAACCTCCGTGGGGGCAGGGCGCAGTGTGGGGCTGCTCACAGCAAGGCTTCTCCACCTCTGAGCAAACTTCCCGCTCACAGCTTCAGCACAACTTATGCCACTGCTACGGGTGGCCCCCCATGTCCTTCCTCCCCAGCCCCGAGGAGGGGGGAGAGGGCAGCCAGGGCCGCCACACCCCTGGGACCCCCGGCCTAGCCGGCAGGCAGAACCGCAGCCAAGAGCACGTGGCACCGGAGGGTGGCAGGGGACAGTCAAAGCCAGGCGCAGTATCGGACACGTTCGGTGTCTCGGAGGCGAGCAGGCTGGCGGGGCGGTGAACTCAGCACCACAGTTAAGCAGGGCCGGGAGCACGGGCGCTGGAAGGCTTCTGCCTGTCGCAGGGAGAGCTGCTCCCTGCCTGCGCCAGCCACCGCTGACACATCTGACCTCCCACCCACGCTGGCCTGGGCCGCCCTCAGCTCCAGCCACGCTCCACCTTGAGCCTCCCGGTGCTGCTGCTTTTCCTTTTAACAAGTTCCCAGTGTCTAAAAAAATACACAAAACCCAGTTCCTTGAAGTCAACAACTCGGAAACATCAGAAAAAAACAAAAACTGAAACCAGCTCAGTACCAAACGGACACAAAGAACATGCAGTTAGCGGACACCTGCCTTGCTTCACGTGGCTCCACTCGCTCCCTACACCCACGGGGCCCCACTGGCACACTGGTTTGAGTCTCAAAGCCATCATAAATCAAAGGAACCGAGTCACACCTTGTCCTGTTTCCATCACATGTGCCAAAGCCCAGCCCCAGCTACAGGGGGACAGGATTCAGCCGGCGAAGAAACCTCCAGCCCGCGGGCCAAGAGCCGTGAGTTCAGCCCTACTGTGCTAAGCTGCCGAACGGTTTACAATAGCACCACAATAGCCCAAGTGCTTTGCCAAGGGCAAACTGATTAAAACTTTACCTTGAAATAGGACATAGCAACACCCATTTCTCAGATTTCCCTAGGAGGTAGATTCAGTGCTGTAGGGACTGTCCATCACTGCCACTTCTCCAGCCCAAGCTGATGCATGCTGTTCCCCTGCACCCGACTTTCCTTAGATGACTCGTGGAGGACTCTGAGCAGAAATCTTGCCTTTTCCCACCTCCTGCTAAGCAAGGGCACTGCCACCCTGCAGGCAAGACTCCTGCTGAAGCCAGGCAAGTGGCAGAGAGGTCCCCAGGCTCCAGCATCCCATCTCCCAGGCCTTGGGAGTCCCCAGCATCCCATCAGCCTGGCCATGCTGCTGCAAGAGGCACAGCCTCAGCTGCAATTGCTGCCACTTGCATTATCACTATCACAGGGGAGTAATTAGTGTGGACAAAGTCCAGGCTGTCAAACACAGCATGAGCCCTCACCGGCCCCCTTTTTACTCTCAAGAGTAGCTGCACTGTTTGCCACTTCGCTTTAACACTCACTGGCTGGTAGAGGCTGAAAGCCTCATCAGTAATTTAGGGCAAAGCACATTACAAGCAGGTTACAATTACGGTTATTCCAAACATCAAGCAAAATCAGAAGTTAAGGCTGAAATTAAAAATAACCAGAAGGTGTTGAAGGTCTGAGGTTTCTCAAACTCCCCTGCCCTGTCACAACACTGGCTGTGGCATCCAGGTAGGAGCAGCATACATCCACAGCGTGCTCAGGTTAAACCGCTGCTGAGGTGCATCAAGGTTAGGGCTGCTTTTTCTTCCTTTTTCTTCATTTTTTTCTGTAAAATTGAGCTGAAGCTCTTCTAGCACACTCAATCCACATTGTCTCCCCTTACTGTCCTTTAGATTCAATTATCTCATCTCCTCAATTTTAGTAACAACCACACCTTCAAAGCGAAGCCTGTGCAGGGTTTAACCCTGAATTACAATGCATGCTCCCACAGTACCACCTGGATACTTTGTGCATTGTGGAGTGAATCTTGTTCTTGTGGGTTTTTTTGTTAAATAGGAAAAGTTTTAACTTGAGAATAGCAATAAAGCAAGCTACCATGAGCTAGTTAGTATCTGAAGATGTGCAGTAGGGGATTGACTATCCCTTACAGTGGCCACTTTGCTAGATTCACCAGAGCCCTGACTGATAGCAGGCACCAGCCCTGTGAGCTGGTGCAGATGGGACAAGCCACGCAGGACAGTGGCCTGTGCTTGCTTCCCTCCTGCCCATGCGTCCCACGGGCCCTGCAGTGGCTCCTCCTCTCCTGCCTGGGCAGGCAGGACATGCCCATGAAAGTCCCTGACCACACCATCACCCTCACCAGAGCTCCTCCATCACCAAAGATCAACTGGAACTCTCCTGCCCACCATGGAACTCCACCACTGAAGCGGGTCCTGCTGCAGGACAGAGGTCACAGCCAGGGACCCCAAGCCACTGCTTGGAGCAGGGGCAGCCAGGCTACCCTGACAGCAAGAGTTGACCAGCGAAGCATTTGTATGGGAGCAAATCCTTCACTTCCCCTCCAGAACTGGGAAGGAGAACCATTCCTACAAGCAGGAATGGGCTCATGAAACTGGGAAGTTCCTGTGAGCCTCTCTGAGACAGCAGGGAAACGGACACAGCTCTAAGCAGAAATGACGACACCCTTGATACTGCTTCTACAACTCTCCACACAACAGTGAATAAACACAGGAGTCACCTCTCACCCACCTTGGGTGCAGTTAGAGCTGACCTGAGACTGTTAGCAGCCGAGTGATCAGACCCCTCCAACCCATCAAAAAAGCACCATGACCTTGGCCAGAGAGCTGCAGCAAAGCTGGACAAGCCCAGCACAAGGTCTCGCAGAAGTCAGAGCAGGGCTGCAGCAGTCTCTCTTCTACAGGAGCGGTCAGCCAGGGGTATGTTATCTGCTGCTTTCCTCTACCTTAACAAACCTCAGTGATTCAAACTGGCTAAGCTCCAAAGACAGTAATGAACTGCAAAAAATGAACCCAACTACTTCAGTACAGACATCTCCCTCTCCTCCATGGCAGTGCTACCAGCCACCACCAACAGCAAGTAACCTCAAGTGCTGAAGAAGCCCACATTTCCTTCATGAGGGGTTTGTTGCCTGGAGCTGTTTCTCTTCCCATGCTCACGCTCCCTGTGGATGAAGGCAGGTGGGGCAGGGTAGGGCTGCCAGGACCTATCTCCACACCTGGTCAGGCCTTGCCCATCTTGTTGATGTGACCCAGCAGCCTGTCATTCCTAACAGAACCACTACTGCCTCCACAAGCCCCGCGTGCCTGAAAAAGCCAACCTGATCTGACAGAGCATCGCCCAGGGAGGGCAAGGAGGAAAAAGCAGCTTCCTGGCTTCCTCCTTCAATGAAGTTTCCAAACGCCAATTTTACTGAGCAGCCTCCCAGTTACACTGAAGTCAACTTTCTGACAGTAGCTAGAAGGTAGCAAGCGTGAAACCTGGATCCTCATGGAAAAGGCATGAAGGGAGACAAGAGACGTGGGGTATGGAGGAATAAGGCTGTGGGTCTGAAATGCCATGCAACAGTTCAATCCACGTTTACTGTTCAAAACAAGCTTTTGGCTAAGAGCCTGCTGCATGAAAGGCTGCTGCTGCCGTGAACCTCACCCTACAATGTGAGCACACAATTTAATGAAGTTATTTTTTTCAAACCTGCACTTATGAGAATTCATTGAGAACTTCTCCATTTTACAGATTTAAAAAAGCCTGCACCAAAAATATTCACAGTTTATTTTTTCATGAAACAAATAACTAGTTAACACGTGACAATGCGAAGCGGAGGTGGACAGAGCAGTGCAGATACCTTTCTGGTTATAGCTGTAGCTGGCTGGGTGGCTGGCACGGAGGTAACCCTACTTACACAATCTACATGACTAAGTCCAGCTCATGGGAAGGCCTATAAATGTAAATTCAAGATTTATTTTCATTCTCACACATGATAAATACTTAATATACTGAACGTCATTACCGTTTTTTTTTAAATTTTGTTTAAAAAAGTTAATGAATGCCCTTAGATCATCTTCTCTCTCAATGGCTCTGAGGAGTTGTCCCGATTCCCTTTTTGCAGGAGTCACGCAGAAACGCAAGCTGCTTGCATTTCCCCAGTTTCAGCAACAAGCAGGAACTAACCTGCCAGTCTTCCCGGAAAAAAACATTAAACAGTAAGTTTCCATAAGCCATAAAGCTTTTTGAAGTCACTAGCTATTCTACAAAGGATCTGAAATGATTCGGACTAGAGAAGAGATGCACCATAGCACTGGTAACGTCCCCTTGTGCCCAGCACACCCAGCCTTTACAGCAGGATGTTGTCTTGGGGTGCATACATCAGGAAAGGAGATGGATCGGGATTTGTCTTGGTACAAGTGTCTGCCTCCCTTCATAGAAAATTGCAAAGCTCATGACTGTCTGCTCTGGAAGCACTTGCAAGCCAGGTGGGAACAAGGACCTGCCCCCACACTGGAGGGAGAGGGTCAGCCTGGAGCGGCACGCTCCCTTTCTGGGGAGGGACCTACGGGTCTGCCTGGAAGGAGAGGGATACACTGGAGCTGCGCGTGGGACTGGGGGCGGGCACGGAGATCCGCGGCTGAGGCACCTGGATCAGCCAAGCTCAGGCAAACCACAGAGGTAACGTGTTGTGAGAGTGGGAGAGTGCTGGTCAGCAGTGCTTCCTCAGCAGGATGCCGACCCCATCCGGGCCGAGCAGTGCCGCCCAGGGAGGCCTGTCCTCCTGCCTGCGAGGGTGCCAGGGGTCACAAGATGCCACTCTGCAGGTCCCTGGGACTCTACCACTCGCTCCACCAGTACCATAGCCAACTGAACTTCTGCCTCAATGCTTGAGCAAACACCTTTCAGCAGGCCTAGTCTGGACACCAGACTGATGACCACCAGGTACTAAACATCTCCTTAACTGGAAAAGGGAGAAGAGGAAAAAAGAAAGCCAGCCAGCTGCCGGAGCCCACCGTGTTCCAGTGTGAGAACTACTTTTCAGTTGGAAGGACACACATGCGCACGCACACACACACACACACACACACTCCAACACAGTCCAGTTAATTCAAGTCTCCTTTGGTTGTAGAAGAGTTAAGCCAGAAGCTACCCAAGGGGAAGGTGTCAAGATGGGTCCTGATAACAGCTACGGCACCCTTGCCTCTGCGCTGTGTAGAGAACGGTACAGGCTTCACGTGCAGCTCGGCAGCGCATCCTGCTGCTGGGAAGAGCAGGCGTGGTGCGACCATGTCCTGAACACCTCTGAGGCAAGGGGAGAAAAGTCTGTTCAGTCTGCTGGCTCACCGTGACGACAGAGGTCAAGAGAGAGTGGATGGAACTTTGAGAGGGAGAACCACCACCCTGCCAGGGTGGTGCTCAGCACCTTGCGGAAAACCCACTCTGCCCTACTCTGCTATTGCTGCTTTATAGGTCACAATGTTTTCAAGTGCAGGAAACACTCTACATATCCTGTGCTAAAGGATTAAGACACAAGAATGAAAAAACTGCCAGATGGCTTCTTCCAAGATCTCTTTTTGCCCTGACCTCCTTCAGATTCCCCGTTTATCAGGCCTAGCCAGTCACAGCTTTATACAAAGGAGCCTGAATAGATATTGTCTATTGCTGGAGAAAACTGCACTGAGCAAGTGCAGCGGGCTCCTCTCCCAGCTCAGCTGGAGATGATACCTGTCCTTCAGTGAACCACACACGCAGCACGTCCCAGTGAACATATGGACAAACCTCGCAAAGCAACATCCTGCAGGGACAGAGACCTGGGCAGATGACAGATAACCCCCTTCCCTGCTTCTAGACAGTCCAGCAAGGGCGTACACCTGACTGCTCACCGCCTGATCCCTAAACATCTCCAGTCCCAGGGCAGCCTGACTGATCTGCTTCCTCTAAATACAGTAAAAAGAGCAAGGCCCCTAGCTGTACCTGGGAACCCAGCTACAAATCAGACCTGGAGCTCGAACACGCTGGATCAAGTAATGTGACCATTTCAATGGAATTGGAGATTTTTACCCAGAGTGGAGTCTTTATTTCAGCTTTACCATTTGTAAAAGGAAGAGGAAAAGGTCACGGATGCTCTCTCCCTTTGGCTGGACCACACTCAGACTGAAATGAATGTCCTTGCTCATGTCACGAGAGAATATGGATGGGATGTGCATGGGTTAGGGGCTGGGCTCAGGGAAGTGAATTAAAAAAAAAAAAAAAAAAAAAAAAAAAAAAAAAAAAAAAAAGAAGATTCCCCCTCCCTAAACATTAAAAGACTGAAACCTGCCTCCCATATTCACCAACCTCACTTTGGCTCTGAGTCGGCCAACTCACGACAGACAGAATCCTGGTTACGGGCTAGCGCTGTGTTTTGTTCAGGCAAAGGGTCCTGCCCCCGAGGAGTCTGTGCTTTTCCACTCAGCCAAGGAATCTGGTCAATTGTCTGAATGTTCGTGACAAGCCACTGCATCTGCTCTGGGGGCACCGGTGCTTCCCTGGCTGGCCGAGGGGTCTGCTCAAACGCACGCAATCTCTCTGATGTCCAAGGGGTTTGCTCTGCAGGGGCTGAGGCCACTTCCCAGCTGGGCTGAAGGGTCTGCTCTGGTAGTTTCTCTGCTGTCCGGAGAGGCTGCTCTGCAAGAGTCAGGGCTTTTGCAGTGGGCCAGTGGGTCTGCTCATGTGTCTGTAGTTTCTCCGTAGGCCAAGGTACCTGTCCGACATGTGTCACCACTTTCCCAGCAGACCAAGAGATTTGCTCGCCAGCTAACATGGTCCTCTCTTTCTGCTGGGGACTCAGCTCCACAACTGGGGCTCCTCTCTCCTTCGGCTGCGCGTTCTGGTCGACAGGCCGCAGTGCCTTCTCCGACAGCAACAGCCTCGGAGCTGACACGGCTGGAGGCTTGTCCAAGGCTTGAGGCCGAGGAGCCACAGCAGCTGCCAGCTTGTCCGATGGCTGAGGCCACGGGGCTGTGAGAGTGAGGGGCCTCTCCAAGAGCTGAGGCCGAGCTACTCCAGAGCCAAGAGCCTTCTCTGGAGGCAGGACCCGCAGGGCCCCAGAGTCAGCACCCTTCTCCGGAGGCAGGGATCGCAGCACCCCGGGAGTGAGCGCCTTCTGTGTGAGCGGGATCCGCAGGGCCCCTGAGCCAAGGGCCTTCTCCATGGGCAGGACATGCGGTGACCGGGAGCCAGGAGCCTTCTCTGGAGGCAGGGGCCGCGGTGCCCCTAAGCTGGGAGCCTTCTCTGCGGACAAGATCCGTGACATCCCTGAGGCAGGAGCCTTCTCCAGAGGCAGGATACGGGGTGTCCCAGGGCTTGGAGCGTTCTCCATGGCTGGGACCCGCACTGCCCCGGAGAAGGAAGCCTTCTCTGGAGGTGGGGGCCGTGACACAGCTGATCCAGAAGCCTTCTCCATGGGCAGGATCCGCGAGACCAGGGAGCTGGGGACGTTTTCAAGGGGCAGAGGCCACAGCACCCCAGGACCAGGAGCCATCTCTGATGCTGGGACCTGCGGCACCAAGGAGCTGGGAGCCTCTTCCACAGACCGAAGCTGTGGGCTCTGGGCAGAAGCTCTGTCTGATGGCTGAGGCTGATCGGCCACAAGAGGCTCTTCCACTGTCTGGGACTGCAGGGTCCCTGCTACAGCAAGAAGTCTGTCTGACAGTTGAGGATGCAGGCATTTCGTTGGGAATTCATCCAGCAGCTCAGGCTGCTGGGTCCTGGTGTCAATGAGGGACTTGTCCAATAACCCCAAGACCCCGGGGTCAGCAGGAGACTCATCAGACAGCTGGAGCTGCAGGGCACCAGCAGTAACAAGCGACTCGTCCAAGGAGTGTGGAGTTCCTGGAGGAGATTTGCTCGACAGATGAGGCTGTGAGGCATCACTGGAGGACTCATCCAGTGGCCACAGCACCGCGTTGGTGGGAGGTTTGTCAGGCTCCTGAGGCCTCAGCGCTACGATGATGGGTTGCTTCTCTGACTGCAGCCTTAGGGACAGGGCAGCCTGGGGCCTGTCTGACGGCTGCAGGCGGAGCGACAGGGTGGTGGGAGGTTTGTCTGAAGGCTGCAACCGAAGCGAGAGGGTGGTGGGGGGTTTGTTGGATGGCTTCAGCCTCAGTGACAAGGTGGTGGGGGGTTTATTTGATGGTGGCAGTCTCAGCGCCAGGGTGGCTGGCGGTTTGTCTGGCGGAGGCAGCCTGAGGGCCAGGGTGGTGGGGGGCTTGTTTGACGGCTGCAACCTCAGGGCTACGGTGGTGGGGGGCTTGTCTGACGGCGGCAGCCTCAGTGCTAGGGTAGCAGGGGGCTTTTCTGGTGACTGCAGTCTGAGGGCCACAGGCTGAGGTAAGCTGTCCACAGGCTCAACGCTCAGGTCTGTGTCTGCAGGTGGCTGCTCAGGTGGCTGGGTGTCCTCGCCGTTAGCCAGGGCTCCTATGGAAGGCACATACTCACGAATTTCTCCTGGCTCTAGAGGGTTAGGCCCACAGGGATCATGCTCTGTGCAGCATAAACGTCCATCCAGCTTGGAGATGAAGAGCATGCCTTCCCGGTGCTGCTTGCAGAAGGACCTGGGGCACATCTCGCAGAAGGAAGCTGCTTCCTTACCACACACATCACACTGATGCCATGGGCACTCCCATTTTCCTGCAGCACAGACACAGGAGAGAAGACATACCTTAGGAGTGGTATAAGGGGAAGAGCCTGCTGCAAAGGGAGTTCAAGTGAGAGTGGGAACACCCCTGTAATACTTCCATACAACTCTATGTGTCCTCCTCAGTCTCTGCCATAGCTCCCAGGCTCAACGGGCAGTTAAGAGGGACCTGCATCCTCAGAAGTAACAAGGGCGATGACAGTCATGATAAACACAAGCCACACCAAGTCAGACCAGAACCCCATCTGACTTCAGCACCACACTAACCAATATGTGTGTCTAGAGAAGAGCAGACACCCCCAGCTTGCACATCTCTGTGGCTCTGACTTCCACAGACAACAACAGTTATCTGTGCATAATACACCCAATGAACTTTTTAAGTAGATGCGTCAGGTTCATCTAAGTCTTTGTTAATTCTGGGCCAACAACCCCCCTTCCTGTTTATCAGAAAGAAGAAGTGAGAGGGCAATGATCACAAGGGAGTAGGTTTTTATTGTCTGCACCCAAAGGCATCTTCCCTAACCTCTGTGTATGGCCGTGATGAAAATACTGCTTAACACAAAGCCAAGCTGCTCACTGAGGAGCTCCACGTCCACGCTGAATCTTTCACCATCAGTATCAACACCATCACAGTTAAAAAAACCCCACATTACACTTCAGAGATTGCTGCTTTTCTCACTTGTAGCTGACCTCACCAGCTCAGCCCCCTGCTCCCCCAGCCAAGGCTCCTGCTGTTGCTACCAAACACTTCTCACCAGTTCAAACACACAAGAAACAGGGAGGCCTTTCGCACCGAGAATACACAAAGCCAAGTTCCTGACCTCTCACCACAGCACCAGCACCGCTTCTGCCTTTCCAAATACTCCTGCTGCCTCTATTCTACCCCCAGCACCCCACACCCTGCCCCCCAGCTCCCTGTCTTGCTTCAGAGAGCAGCTCCCTGCAGAGCAGCCCTGGACACCAGCTGGGCCAGGGCACTTCCCTGTCTCCCTGAACCAAGCCCGCACATCTGTGGCTCTGTCTATCAGCTCTCTTCCAGCTCTGGAAGAGAGCATGACTATAGCACAGCACTGAGCAGCTGTAGGCATTTCTTGATGCACTTGTGCAAGTTCAGCTTCTCACTCCCCTCTCTCACCTTGTTTTTCCCCCGGTGTTAGAGACAACACACAGCATGTTTTGTCCCTCCTTTGAAGCCAGTCCAAGGCTTCTGTTCCAGTCTCAAAACACATACACACTGCTTTTCTGTCTTTTCCAGTTTCTCAGCATCCTTTTCATCGTGGGGATGTTTAACACTACACGTGTTTTTCCCCCTTCCAGGCTGACAGTGCTGCAGCACAGGCTGTCACTGCTCCCCCCGCACCATCAGCAACACAGAGAGCCACACTCAAGACTCAATTTGGCCACTGGAAAGACTCTGGGACTATTATTATACAGGTCATTTGTATGGATGGAAAATAAAATAAGTCAAAACCTGCCACTGCGTTGCAGGAAGGATAAATCCTATCAAACCACTCTGATGGTCTTTGACAGGATAAAAGGCCTAATGAATAAGCAGCCTCTCCAGAGACAGCCCAGAGCTCAGAAGTAAGATCACACAACTAGTAACACGCAAACAATCAGGAAATTCCAATTACTTGACAGCAATACCCATGGCAGAGGAAACATTTGAAGTAAAAAGTGCTGAACCTTTCATGTCTTGCATGATACTCAAAGGAGCAGGCTATAAAAATAACAGCATACATGAGTAAAGAGAGTAAAATGGCTACAACTGACTGAAAATCATTCTCAATAAACAGCTATTAATGGTCTTCTGGCAAACTGAGAAGGCATTTCCAATGACATCCTTCAGGAGTCTATTTTAGTCTGTATTTTATTTTAAATTTCTGGAAACAGAACAGCAAATACTCTTACAGAAATGGGTAGCTAACAAGGCTGTGAGGGACTACAAAAATCTGATTAGATTGGCTCAGAATTTAAACTGGACAGATGCTTTTGCACCAACAAGGTGCAATTAAATAAAGACCAGTGCAAAGCAGGACTGCAGGAGGAAGAAATAATAAGTATGTGAAAAGGATCAAGACAAGGACTCAAGGAAGATAGGGCAAATCACAAACATATAAATATAAAAGTTGTTTTTGCAAAACAAGTCAAATCTTATTTGCCCAGAAATTTTATGTAAAACACAAAACATAATTATTCTTTTTTGTTGGTGTTAGTAAGGCCTCAGCTGCAGTACTCTTAAAATACTCCTGTTACCACAGTTTTAAAAATGCGTAGGCAAGTGGAACAGAGTTCAGAGCAGATGAAGGATAATAATTTTAGAAAAAAGAGCTGCAAGGAGAGGCTGCAGCTTGTTTCAGCCAGAAAGGGACTAAGGAGACAACAATCTCCCAGTATGTAAAAAAAATGGATATTAGAGAGCTGGCAATCCTTTGTTTTTTTGAAGTCAGGCTGTTAGAAGTTTTTCAAATGGAAAGCAGGAGAACAGGCTAGATTTTCCTTTATTCAAGACTTAAAAGCACAGAAAACCTGCCAGGATGTTGCACATGAAACTGTATAGAAAGGTGATATTCAGGACACCCTCTCCCTGAATGATGATGTTCCATAGGAATGACCTGAGCTCCTGTTAGCTTTTATAGCGCTGTTACAGCGTTTGTTCAACAAGCAAATCAAGCTCTTCTGTATAAATGCCCTATTCTCCCCAAAACTTCATACATGCACACACATCATTTCTGTCATCTACAAAATATGCTACTAGCCCTTCTACACCTTCTGCCAAATTACAGCTAGAGGTGCTGAAAGTCCAGTTCTGGCTCCCTGCAGTGCACAACAGAAACACCGTCACCGTGACTCTCCTGGCAGTTGCTTTCAGAGACCGCTTGGTACCATGTTTCTCAGCCTGCCTCTGAAGTGCACAGGAAACACTGCACAGAGTTGCATAGAGAACTACTAATTATCACAGTGCTTACAGTATCAAATCAAAGTATTTACAATCCCCTAAACAAATTACTTCAATGAAGTTGCTTTTATTAACCAAATTTATTATCTTAGCAAAAACACCTACATTAGGTTTGATGACTCATTCCACCTAAAAATTTGCTATCTAGTATTGTTGAGACTCTTACCATTTAATTCTTTGACACTTGATCTCATATCAGCTTTTCCATCCTCCTGGCCTGGCAGAAATCAGGCTAACCAGCCTACTAAGACTCAGGTCAAACTCTTTCCCTTTCTGAGCATTGGTTAAACCTGAACACTCATTACAGGTTGCAGGAACTCCTTTAGTAACTAAGACAAACCAAAACAACAGAGGACATATTCCCCTCAACCAGGTCCTGTAAGAATTTTAAATGCAACTTAGACATTTCCCTTCAATAGATGTTACTTTGCATGTCTTGAGCTAACAAACTAGAATCTGTTTTATCACTCACGCAGAGAAACTATTTCTTTCTCTGCACACAACTAGACATACTTTTTGAGGTTTTTTTTTCTTTATATTTCGAATGTCTGCCCTCATTTCCCCACAAACTAGGATATGCTTTGATACTCTTTCTTAACTATGAACTCATGGCTATTCAGACATCTAACACATTCTTCTCAAACTCCTATTTTCCATCAATGCTTTTCCTCACCATTCAATTCACTCAAATGTCTACAACTTTGGGAAAATGGCTAATCTGAGGAACCAATATCTCAGCTATTGTTGGGACTATCCTCTGCCAGGCCCCAACAATGGGGTCAGCTCACAAGCACCGTTTCATGGGCAAGGACCAGCTCTCTTTTCAGCAATCAATTATTCTTCTTGCAGTCACAGTGGGGTGCAAACCAGGGTTGTGTCATGTGGGCCACAAAGTCCCTTCAAGTGAGTAAGATCTCTCCAATTTTAATATTCTGTGACGTGAGTGCAAAGAAGTAGGCAGTGCCTGGGACACCTCGAGCCAAGGCCGTGACCCAAGCAGAGCCCAGTTGTGCAGAGCACTGACCTGCAGGTCTCTTGGTCAGGTTGAGGCAGTCCGCGTGGTACACCTTGGGGCAGCCTGGCTTCTTACAAGAAACTAGCTGCCCTCCGTCTCCACAGCTGAAACACTCATCCTCTCTCTCCTTCATCACCTCCGCCTGCGACCTGCGCTTCATCTGCGGCCGTCTCTTTAGCTTCTTGGACTTTTCCTCGGTGAGGTTGGGTTGGCTCTGTGGGTGAGACAATGTCAGTTAATGCAGGTCTCTGTCCCTTCCATCTGTTCCCTTCCTGCTACAGTGGAGATAATCACAAACCCTGAAATAAAAATCCCACTGTCAGACATACCTGCAACGTATGTAGCATCTCTACAGTGCTTCTCAAGATTTGTCAATCAGTTTACTACAGCACATAGTTCTTTTTTCTTTAAGAGCCTGGAAGCTCTGCACCAAAGGCTGGTTAAACATGGGATATATACAATTAGGAACAGCAGAATGAGGAAGCAGGGACTGCCTGGTGTCACACTGAGCTCATGCCACTTCTCATGGACTCTTCAGTCCTCAGTCAAAGCAGCCAGGTCTCCTTGTACCCATGACTGATGAGGAGACTCTCCCAGGCCTTCCTGCACTATGACATTCCTCACTCATCTCTCCATTTTCAGTCTCAATTTATCTGTGATCAGTTTAGACCTATTTGTTCTACTGTCAATGTTGCTCTTTTTGGCAGAAGTTTTTCTCTCTCCCTGAATTAACCACCAGGACACACTCTCCTTCTCACAAACCAAACACTTTCAGAGTCTGTACCCTGCCTTCCTAATGGCTTTTCTCTGCCCCTACTGAGTTTATTTCTCTCAAACACAGGTGACAGAATTATACATGCTACTTTAGATGACACCCCACAGGCAGTGTACAATGACATCAACACTTCTCCAAAAGAATAGGAAATCCCTCCCAAAGCTCCACCTGCATTTCCCTTTTTCACAGCTGCATTCCAACAGCAGTTCAGTCCTGCAGCAGCTGAACTGTACAATGGCCCCTTCTTCACCAGGACTGCTCACCGATGACCTCATGGCAGATTTGTTTCTGCTATTTACCTCCAGGTGTGTACTCTGCCATGCCAAATCTCTGAAGTTCAGCCCATTCCCAGTTATATCCAGCTATTCCTTTGCAACTGCTCCATCCTCTCCTCCTCCCACACTAACACCACCTGACATCTTTGTGTCATTAGTACAGTTCAACCACTACTACTTCCAACAGCTGTGCTACAGGCAGTAATGAAATAACCACACTGGTTCCAAGATTGGCATCTAAATGGCTTAAGTGGTCTCTTCTCTGGCCTAAGGCTTCCTCCAGCGCTGCCCCCCACCCCACTTCAAGCTAGGTCCTCAGACCACTCCTGACCCCATAGCTTGGATCCTTCTCCAGCCTAAGCCTACCGCTGTACCAAACACTCAACTCCATAAATATGATGCTACCTGTCCCAATCAGTGACCTTATCAAATCACTGTCAGTTTAGTTTATCTAAACAGACACGAACTAAATTTTATGCCATTTTACACATATCTTCGTGTTTTTCACACAGAAAATCTTTGTGTGCTGAGACGATGCCTATGAGGTGATTTTTTGCATCTTTATTCTGCATAAATATTGGGCATTATTTTCATCACTCTTCTATCACGATTAAAAACAAGAACACAAAAACATTTATAAACATTTGTCTCCAGACCTACAATTTTTAAATTCCACAGCAGTTAGCTAGGCGTCCTGCCACCAGGGAGCTACACCTCTTGATTGCCTCCTTCCCCTTCACATGTGGATATTTCTGTTTTCATACCATCATTCTCATTGACAATGGGGACAAGTCAGGCCTTTCTTATAACTGAAAATGGTGGCAGTGAAATCACTCCACCTAAACTATTCCACCTATTCTCAGCGCTTAGCGCCTCCGCCAGCTAATTACAAAGAGAACAAGGAAAACCTTTCACAGCTAATTTGAATGTCTAAGCAAGGTCTAACAGCTGGACTAAGCGATTCTCACTTGCTCACAGCAGTACAAGGGACTTCCAAGCATTCTTCCACACTCCCAGTTAGAAAGGTCCCTTTAAAGAGTGAACTCGAGTATAATCAGCATAATCAAGTTTTGTCTTGCTGTATCTTCAGGAAGATTAAAAATGTATCTATTGTGGGATGAATTAAAAAAACAAACAAACAAGCACCAAGGTACTGTTTTCTTGGGTATTGTTTCTTAGCCCATCTCATCAAGATGGAATGTGTCGCCTCAGGCATCACAAAGGAACATTAATGCCAACTAAAGGGCACCTTTCTCTGATTTCCATCATGCAACCTGCAATTTCAGGGAAAAAATGACAGTCAAGCCATGTATAACACAGGAGCAGCACAAAATCAATTGAACCTTAAATTGCAACCCAAAAAAAGAACTACATAAATCAGATGTGTAATTCACCTCATCTGTCAGCTTCTGAAAGACATCGGGGTTTTTTTACCCTAAGTTAATTTTTCTGCAGAACTAAGCTCTCTGGAGAATTCACAAAACCTTCCCTCTATACTGAGGGGGTTTAACAACTGTGTTGCTGGAGCTTTTAACTCTTAACTGTGGGTAAGCCGCCAGTACCCACATGCCAGAGCAGAGGGATTACAGACCGATTTGGTGAAGCTCTTGAAACAAACCAACAGCTGAGACATAGATGTAGCTGGTGACAGCTGGGAACTCGGCCAACTGCTCCTGTTATTTCATTTTTCCAGTGAGAACCAGCTCACACAAGAAGGTAACTGAAATCAATTCCTGTTACTGCAATATTGCAGTTACAACATGAAGCTCTCAAAATTTTGTCAGGTAGTTCTAAAAGCTAGTGATTTTTTCTACCTCAGACATGGGAAATTTCTTGTTCCTGTCTGCACTTCAGTCACTTAACCAAAAGAAGGAAAAAAACCCAGGAACTTTCTTACTGCAGTGAAGGTGGTGATGTAGAAGCCTTCTGGCTCTAAAGCAACTCCAAGTCTGAAGGAATGTGAGTTTACGGGCCTTCCATTATGTTCACAATTTACTCAGGCCTTTAACTTTGGGAAATGGGCTGAGTTGTGGCCCCTCTAATGTGATGGAAATTGTCATGCTAGTAAGCCGAAAAGTCTGAAAAAAAGCTTTCATTTATTCTTTTGCTGTAAAATACAATTTCCTGTCATTATTTATAGCAACTATAATAATTCGGGTCTAAGAACTGCACTCTCAGAATGAAAACTTGGGTATTTAACTCATTTCAAGAGTGTTTTCACGGTCATACTGAAAACGGATTACCTTTCCTGAGATCTCTGTAACAAATATACACTTCAGAAGAACAAAAGCTTAAAGGGGGGCATCATACCTTTGGCCTTACTCCTAGGAAGCCACTGCAGTTTGGGGCACCACATTTACAAACGGTCTTTCCATTTCCCAAACACTCCAGATTGTAGTTGAAAGTCAGCTCAGTCCCTGGCACAAAAGCAGACCAAAACCAAGCAAGTTGTAATGAACTATGAAGCAGAACATCTTACTGCTGAAGTAAAAGCACTTTTAAAATATAATGACACAAATGACTGTCACAACTACACAAGGATACCAAGTATTAATCTCCCCACAGATCTGTGTGGATTGGAAATTCAGTACAACCCCACACTACAGCCAGAAAGGGCATTCAATGCCACACTGTAGCATGCTTAGTTCCATTTCTTGACCCTGTAAATTAGAACTATGAACCTCCATTTACACCATGGGTGTATGTGTTTCATTATGTCAGTGCTGGTGTTAAGTCTTATGACTGCCTACATGAAAACAAAAATTAAATACCTTCCCAGTGAGCTACAAACCCCCCACTTTCCTTACAGAAACACTCCCACGCTTTTAACTGTGGGTACTGATGGAAAGGGGTTCCTTACCAGCTTTGATATTTACAATTGCGAAGAGCCCCACCCGAGTATCGCCGTTCACACACCATTTCTGAGTCTCACAGTTTGGCTGGCAGCAATGGTTCATGAACCGAGCATAATTGCCCTTTGGCCCAGCATCAATGATTCGATCCTGAAATTTTAAAAAAAACCCACAAAAACACAATTAGTAAACTGTTATTTCCTGTTTAAGCCACTGCAGCACAGGTAGCAGCATACCAGGAAAGCATTAGTCAGTAGTGAAAAGTCTGATGACACTTGGAAAGCACAGTTTGTAATGGGTTTTAACCAAGGGTGAGTGTTGCCTGCACAATCAACAGACACCCAGCCAGTTCCCACACACCGATGCCTCTGGTCGGAGATGGCAGATCACATGGCAATACAGTCTCCTGCACAACATTCCTTTTCAGAGACACAGGGGCTCCCTAACACTCAGGAAAGTGCTACTGCTACTTTTTGGGAAGTCAGCTCTCCCTGTGGGGTCAGTAGTGGATAAACACACTTCCAGTGCATCACTGGCAGTTTCAGACTCCAACTTCTGCTTAAAAGCGAAGTATTAATTCCTATTTCTTGTACCTCAACGTACAGAAGGAAAACAGGAACAGTATGTGATGTGTGAGATACACTTCTGCGCAGTACACTATCATTTGTTAGACCGTGTTGGAGACGAGGGCAGCTGCAACTAAGATTTGGTTTTGTAATAATGAGGGAGATACTAACACTTGGTTTAGTTCCTGCTCCCACCCATCAGTCAGACAAGGAGAACAAAATAGAGTCAGTGAGAATTTGCAGCAAAAGGAGGGGAGAGCCAGAAAGCAGTCACCTTGTTATCCTGTCCCACACTGACAGCATCTTCCTGTGCCTGCTTTCATGGTTTCCTTCTAATCTTCCCCAAGGTTGAGTGACAAAGTGTGGAAAGCAGCTGACAAAACTACTCACCTCAGAAACCCTGGAACTCACATCAACAACCCAGCCTCCAGGACCCACTGAGAAGTCTGTGGGTGTAAAACTCCACCCATCTACTGAAATCTGCAAGACCTGGGATCTGAACTTAAATGAAGGTCTCACTGCGCTTGATACTTGTCCACCTGAGGGCCAATGCCTCTCTGGCACACACCAGCACAGTTCTGGACTCTCCACGGTTCAGCTGCTGGGAAGGGTTCTGAGGTTACAAAATTCACCCTGTTATGCTGAAGTAGGCACTACAATCCTCAGACAACTTCCCTCAGAAAACTGCCTCACCTCTTCTGAATAAACTTCAAAGAGATTAGTTCAGACTTTCCTCCTAATTCTAATACCCAATATGAAGCTTCTCTACAGCAGGTTAAGTCCATCCTTTTAGTCTTCCCTTCAGTGGAAATGTAGACCAGCTGATCAGCAACACCTTTTTACTTGCTGGAGGAGACCACTATCAAGCCTTCCTTGCAATTATTTTACTTCTGTCTAGGATGCTGGAAAGAAAAATTTCTTCCACATACCTTATCCAGTGTCAACATGTAGAAATTGGTGATGTCATGCTCCTGAGCATAGCGGATTCGGGCTCGACACTCCTCCTCATCAATTAGCTCCCCAACATACTCATTAACAAATTCACCCTGCCAGAGAGAAAACAAGCTGGTAAGATGAGACAAATTCCCTCCAGGATGGAGGAACATCCACCTTCGCAATAAAACATAGTTCCCATTTCCTTTTTGGAAATCTTTTCCTAGAGATCTTCCTCTATACTTTGCAGCCAGTTTGCTCAACAAATAACTTGAACTAAATTAAATAAAGCAGCAATGGCCATCAGATTATTCTTTGTGAATAATCTGAAAGAATTAATATTGAGCATAAAGTTAACCACAAGAGTAATTCTTTGCAGCAAAGATCAAAGCACTGCCTAACTACATTCCATCTGGAAACAGTAATCCTTTGGGGACCAACCACACCTAAGGCACCTGCTCCCGCAGTAAATCCATGGAGCTCCCCTGCAGTGAAGTACCACAGAAACAGTACTTCAGCCCTCAGAGGGAACCCCAGCTCTGTCACACTGAGGCTAGTAGGTGCCTCCATTAAACAACTACGTTTTGCTGCTTCCAGACCATCTGCTGAAAGTGAAATCTAACAGGTGCGTGGAACAGCAGAAAAGCTTTAACCTGTATCACAGCAGGCAGCAAAGCCTGAACAGGATAGACTCACATTTTTACTTCTGCTATCAAGCCCCCACCCTAGCATGTTGTCCCTACTCCTTTTTCAGACATTCTTCTCCTACTATGCTAATTGTTATCTGTTTCACCTCACCCTATTCTAGCTTCAGAATTCTCTTTGCTTTAACATTCTTCCTCCTTCATTCAGCGCATATGTGGTTCCACAAAACTCCTATTCTCTGGAGTTAAAAAAATACATACAAGTTTTTTTTAGCCGGAGATAGCTATTATTATTGCTGATACAGGTATCTCCAAGATATTATCCTTTTGCAAGAGCCAAGCCCTGGTTTCAGTTTCTGATACAAGATTCTCATGCTAGAAATGCCTGGCTATTCAAGAATGGGGGTGGGGGGAGGTTTAACCACTGTTCCCCAAACAGAAATCTTGAGCACTGTCTTCAAGACAGTGTTCTGGGTCTACTCAAAGCCCACCGTCCATACAAGCAGACAGACTGAGCAATCACCTTTCTTACCCCGTGAGGCATCAACATGCAAACCATTTTCTTGGTTAGCTGAGCCAAAACTTTCTTGTCAGGACTGAAAAAGTTAAATTCATCCATTTCTTTCCTAAACGGCATTCTACAGTAGTAAGTCTTCTTCAAATTACGGAAGATGGTAATTTTCAAATCTATTAAAACCAACAACAAGCAAGAGAGAAGTGGCAAGAGAAAGTTACATGCAGAAACAGACATACCTTTCTGATGTCTGTTTTGGCTTGCAAGCCCCAGCCTCGTGCCAAGGTGCGGAAGATTTGTACCTCGGGATACTGCCGCTTGGAGAAGCACTGGTTCTGGCAGCGCTCCCCAGCAGGGCACACCATGGGGTGGCACTCATAGAGCAACATGCGGTTGATGCATTCGGAGTCCAGGCCGCAGGGGTTTTCATCTGTTGGTTTGCAGTTGCACCGTGGTATCTCGGACAGGTCTGCAGTGAAGATCTGCACCTTACCCACCGGCCGGTTCACCTTGAATGCACACGAAGGACGTTAGCTCTTAAGAACAACAGGTATTCCTGACTGTCACTTCTATACTCAACCCTCACCCATGAGCTGATGGGCTGCAGTGTGAGTTAGTTACAGGGAGGGGCAGAAGAACACAAGTACAGGCACATACGTACTTCTGAGCACGCTGTTTCAAAAGGTTAGAGGGAAGAGAGCTAGGGAAGATGCGGGTTCCCCATGACCATCACCTGGTGCAGTGTGTCTTCTGTGACCCCGGAGTAGAGAGAGGCTGCCAAGTGTCCCCCTCCCCATCACCACTGTGCCTATATCCAGCCCAGGTGACCCAGTGCTCCTGCTGGGTGCACACCATACCTGTGACTGACAGCAAACCCATTTTCTGTGTGAAACAACACCTTCTCCAGTCTCCCAAGTGTCAGGTCCTTTTCCTTACAGCCCTGATTTTTGAATGCGTTACCTTCAAGCTGGTTTGTGCTCTCAGCAGTCACTATGAGAACCAGGCAAGTGTGCCTGTGAGTACAGAGGGCCCACCTCTGTACCAGGCCACAAGCAGTTAGCTCCCTACCCAACTGTCCTGCGGATGTAAATGAAATAAAAACCACACAAAGCTGGGGTTGGAAGGCCCAAATTGGAGCTCAGAGTTAAGACAAGGAGCTCTCTAAAAACCGCTCCAGAAGGAAGCAGAGTGCAGCACCGGCTGGAGAAGCGACTGGCGTGTCTGTGGCATGAGCAGGGTCCTTTGGTTTTGATTAAAGGCAGCGAACACTGAAAAGCAGGCAACAGAAAGTCAGGACTTTTGAGAGAGACACTGAAGAAAAGCTCCTTGCTATTCTTCACCCAGGTGAGCAATACCATCAGCACCCTCTCCTCTCCCAAGACACAAAAGAAGGGGATCATTTAGCAAAACTATTCCAGCTCCCACACAATTTATCTAGTCCCAACCACTGAGCAGTTTCCATGCTGGCAGCCTGCCTGAGGCTGACCTAGCCCTGACCATCTTCCTCCTCCTCTGTTTAAAAGCAAATTCTGAAGAAACTCCTGAATAGTCTCTTCAACATAGCCTCCCCTTCCTCCTAGTATTGTCTCCCACCTCCAACCTTCCTTGTCACTCTTGTGTTTTCCTCCACTGCTTCTCATCCCTTAGTCAGCTCATCACCTCGTTAAGAGTGACGAGACTCACAGGATTAGGACCATCCACCACTGGGCAGAGAGGTGCCCTTGCTGGCTCTGGCACTACCACCCCAAGTGACCACGGTGTCTGAGTGTGGTGCCCCTCTCAGCAGGCATGCATACCCAGCAGGCCAGCCCTACTTCCCAAGGCACTGCTGGTACAAAACCAGTTCCAAAACAGGACACAATGCTTGGACTAGCCACAACCCTGATCCAATGAAGGATCCCAAGTGTATTTTGCAGTAGCCTCTTGTGTTGGTGCTCCTTGGGATGGATCCCGAGATGCTGATCTCCTTAGAATGCCGGGATAGGAGCAGACACAGCCAGCTTCAGCCATTCCACCCTAAAGCCTTCTCCGTCCAGTTCATCGTATGCTCCTGCAAACTGCTTTGCTTTCACAGAGACAAACACCTTGTACACAGATCTCAGAAGAGCTGCCATGGCTAATGATCATGACCATTATTATTTACATTAAAAGGATATTTCAAAGGCTCCAACTGCTTCCGAAGTTCCTTCATGTTGCAGCCAGAGACAGGCTTAAAAATATCTGTAGTGATAAACTATTTCCTCCACTGAAGCTGCCCGACTCATAGTGCTGCCACAGCATTCGGTTGTGTTCTTTACACTGTACAGTAACTCATGCAGGATATACCTGCCTGCCTAGAAATCCCAGCTAGAAACAGGAAGTGCCAGCAATCAGTTAAGCTTTCATAGTTTGCCACATAAAAAAGGGAAGGAGCAGACAGAGGCAACAAAGAAAGAACACAGTCCCTGAGTCACTGGGTTTAGGATCAGTCTGGACCCAAATCTCGAGCACACGTACTCAAGCTCTCTTCTCAAGTCACCTCCATCCTACAGGACTTCTACAGTTGCTTCAATTATATCTCAAAATACAGCTCTAAACATGAAGAGTTCCCCAAAATTCAGCAAGACACCTGATATTCCAGCACATAGATCTACTATTTCTGTTCAGTCACCAACTGATATAGAAAGATATAAAACAGCAGCAGAGATGAAACAAGATACTGTGGGTTACACACACAGCTCTGCTCCACTGCACCACGACCATCTACCTTGCACCACCTGGGATGCCCACCTTGCTGTCAGTAGCACGCAGTACTTGAGCACACTGTGTATTACCAGCACTCCCCGCTAAGTTCCCACAGTACAGAGGGACTTCCTTCAGATCACAACTGACACAGAACAGCAGAGAAGTCCAGATCTGTTCCAGTAAATCAGAGTACCTCTACTACTGGTGTCCAGCTTCCATACAGTCCTGTGCACACATGAAACCTTTCTGTGGAGCATGAGTAAAGATGCTGAGAGGACCCAAGTAACCTTCAAATGCAGCCAGATGCCCAAAAAGTAGAAATGTTTCTGTATACCTGTAAATCACCTGCAATGCCAGCTCAAGACTTCTCTTCTGCCCCTATCCCCCCTCACTTGCCCTCACCTTGATGTGTTTGTAGGGAGGAGGTTTCTTGTCATTCTTTTTGTCTTCCTGAAGCTGTCTCAGTTCTTTCTGTGCCTTCAACTCTTCAAATCTTACTGCAGCCTCCTGGAGAGCTAAGTGAGAGAACAGGCTGTGTTACGAGGAACATCCTCCCCTCACACAGAGCTGGGCTGCCAGTATCCACCCAGTTCTCACAGCTCCACAAGCAAACCTCCCCGGCCATATACTTCAGAGACAGGTTCACTGGAGGGGGGTGAAGAAAAGGCCAGTGCAGTAAGGCAGGCGCAGGAGTTACAGGAAGGTACCTGCCCATGGGTGATGAAGCATTCAAACTGTCAGCTAGCTCTGCCTGCTTTTGGGCAGAGGTCAGGCAGCTGCATTTTTATACACAGATAATGACTGTATTAGACACAGGGATGATGACAAAGTAGCAGCTCACTCGGATTTAGAGCAGCTATGTCAGAGCTGGAGAAGTATTCAAGATCTGCATACCCTTCTCCCTCTCTGGAAGTCATCAGACCAATGGACATTTTGAGTGTGCTGGATGACAGATAAGCAGCAGCTCATTCTACAGATTTAATTTCACTTCAGCTCTAAGATGACGTTTTTCTCTGTTACAAGAATGCCACTTCTCCAAATGGGAATGAAAAGAATATGTACCTCCCTCCCTGGATGAAGACAAGTTACCTTTCTTGTATATGCCATCCACGCCCTTCCCCATCTTGTCTTTGCTGCTGACATCACCTTCCATGTAAGGAAACACACGGGCCTGATGGGTCCACAGGTAATCCTTGGAGCCGAAGAACAGCACAGGGAACTCACCAATGTCATGTTTCATTTTCTGGATGTTGACAGGAATTGTCCTAGGATGGCAAATCTCAGCTGGCCACCACCTGCAAGATGGAAGGGCAAGATGAAACCTCTGTCTTCCCCACTTCCAACCATCTCAGAAGTATACTACTGCATGGAGACACCGACAAAAAGTCTGTGAGGGCTACCAACAAGGCTGGTGGGGAGACGAGAGGCTACTGGAGGAGAAAATCACACATTTTACTAACCACTACGTGCATGCAAAAAAGCCACAGGTTGCTGCACTGTACCCTGCAGAGAGGAGCAGCTTCTCACCTCAGTCACCATGAGCATGGCATGAACAAGAGATGGGGACAAGTCTGTTCTACTTTCACCTACCTGTATCGCCCAACTTTCACCCAGACTACTTCCTTGTAGTGTGGCTTTTTGCCTGCCTTGCAATCATTACAATACCAGCTTCCCTCTGGCATCTCAATGTTTAGACACTCACGGTGAAACGCAGCTGGGCACGACTCACAGCATAAAAGGCTGCCCCCTGCAAAGAAGAGGAGGAATTTTTCAGTCATTGTGCAGAGCCCTGAACTCCACACTCTCAGACAGACACCACTGAGAAAAGGGCATGATGCTCTTCTGCGAACCCTTTTCAAAAGTTGTACCCTACTCATGCTGCAAGAAGAACCCTTCCAAGGATCCAGAACAAGTCCTAGCCTGAAACTGGACTTAAAAGTGGATGGATGGGAATGCAATCTGTTCTCTGCAGTTCTCACTGGCACACTCTGGATAGAGAAAGCTTCTGCCTGCTCTAATGACTTCTTGTCATGCCATTCCTCGGTGTCAGGGGACCCAGTGCAGACCATCTTACCTTCTGAGCAGACAAAGCACCAGCTGACATTGACGTGCTCGTGGTTGCGGCAGCCCCTCCGTGCAGTAAAGTGATTGGGGCAGATGATGCTGTTGGAGGCGAGGACCACGGACCCAGCAGCCAGGCAGAAGTCGTTGGAGTGGTACGCAACCGGACACCGCACACAGCGCATCAAGCGACCTAGCACCAGAACATGTTGGGAACACTGTGAACCTCTAAAGGAGGACAATTTTTTGTTTCCTGCCAAAACCAGCCTCTATTGATACCTCAGCTAAAACCCATCAACAATAGGTGATCTTTGGAAAAGGAAACCGACCTTTAATATCTATAGACCGTCTATGCTATATTAAATAATTTAATGGGTATCTAGTATAACAAATTATATCTAAAATTATAAATATCTTCAATAGATATTTGTATATAACATATATAAAATTGTCTTATTTGTAAGTGAAAAACTTCCTGCATGCTGTGCAGAGACAGTTCGAGTTCATAGGCTGGGACTGCTTCCTATCATACACAAATAATTAGTAAATCAGCTCAGACAGAAATTACAGAAAGGGTGTTCCAAGTGCTTAGCTGCACATAACAAAACCAATCTGTGTATTCTGAAAACATCAGCACTTGCCTCTCCACTTTATCAGATTTTACCCTGAAATTCCAGAATGCAGAATTCAGAATTGCCTACAGGCCTAATTTATCCAAGGTTTTTGAGAGCCTGTTTTCTGTTCCTCACAGGAGATTACAAAAAGGGAGAAGAGGTGGGAGGGAAGGGGTAAACCTAACCACCAAAAGGCAGCAGCCTGAGGAACACAATGCAAATGTTCAGTGAGGAAGTGGTCAGCTGTGGGCTTTAGGCCTTAGTGTTGTCTTCTACACCAAATACTGATACGTGGGGAAAAAAAAGACTAACACAGACCCTCAGGATAAAAATAAGAGCTGATCTTATTGTGACTTAAGATACCAAGGATTTAAAGAAAGGCAAGTTTACAAGCAAAAATACATGGCAATCACAAAAAAGTTAAGTTTAATCATGTGAGATAAAGGTCAAGGTATTGCTGCAAATAGCTCAAACAAATTTTTGCCTGAGAAGCTTAGCCCAAGGCTGTCACTACTACAAGACAAAGAGTTTGCACTATAAAAAAAGATCAACTAGAACAGTATCATAGTTTCTACTACAGTGGTCTCTACGCCATTGCCTTGATAGCCAGTGCTGTAAGCAGGCACCACCTGTAGCAGTGGCACAGTGTAAAGTACACAGGAGAAACACGAGAGTGTCCATACAGCTCCAGAGACTTATTCAAAACCCCAGAGGCGCATGTGGCATCGCGGGACGTGCAGGCATCCAAGCGTCAGGACAGACGAGAACATTTCAGTTGCCATGTCTGACCATCAGGAGTGCTGATGAGCAGCAACCTCGCAAACTGACACCACCCCTTCCACTCCCCTGAGAGAAGCTATTCCTCAGAAAACGCTACAGCAAGCACTGTGGCAAAGACAAGATCTACATAAAGAACCAGGTAACTGCACAGTGGACTTGAAGCAAAGAAAGCTTAGAACTGCATCCCCTAGAGCACCCTAGAAGATTTTGGTACCTTTAGATGCAGAGATGTTTGCTGGGTTAGCAGCATGACAAGTCATACATATGTGCAGGGAGCATCGGAAGCCCTTGTTCTGCATGACGGTGGGCGGGTACTTCTGTATGCACGCTTCATGGTAATACTTCCCACAGAGGGGCAGCAAGCACCGTTTTACATCTTCCCCACAGCTCTTGCACACAAAGCAGGTATGGACCCCTAGAGAAAGAGCAGCAGATGTAAAAACAGTCATGTAGAAAGGTTAAATGAAGACCTGACACTTCCACCAGGCTGCGTATTAGCACATCACAACTTCCTAACCTGCTGTACCTATCCCAAAGTACAGGTCTCTGCAGCAGGCTGGTTTTGCCTGCAGCTGCAATAAAACTCCAGATTAAAAAAAAAAAAGAGCTGTGATTTCAAGCCAGGGAAAAATAAGATAAAAACCAAAAATCAAAAACCCTACTTAGACATTCCCCACTTTCCAGCCCGCTCCAGACTCATCCTCCCCACCAGCCCTCTCTCCCTAGGTAAGAAGAATTACCCCTTCTCTCTCTCACCGGATCCCAGACAATCACTTCTTCACACCCCACATGCCTGAATCAACAGTAAGATCAATTAATCTGAAAGTCATTCATTATCAAACCAATAATCAGAGGACTGAGAGCTAGTTAGCAGCCTTACTGCAGGCACATCACTCCAGCAAAGGAAGCACAAGGTGAGCATGCAGCAAGCACCCTGTCCTTCTGCACTCACAAAAGCTGCCGTACCTGTGGAACACTCATTGCAGATGAACTTGCCCTTTGGCATCTCGGAGAGCCCAAGGCACTGCAGGTGGAAAGCACCACAGCACTGCGCCTCACACAGCAACAGCTCCCCTGGCTTCTCACAGATCTGCGGGGAAGGAAGCACTGTGTCAGCTCTGAGCAACCTCCTTCCCCCGCTCATCCCAGACAGCAACAATCTGTATGCTGGCCAGGACTGCCAGCAGAAACTCCTGTGGAAAAAAACTGGTTTTCTTGTATTAGTAAATTCAGGTGGCTTGTGCATCACCACTGCCATTTGCCATCCAGTCCCTCTTACCATGCATCAGCTAACATGAATCCTATGTTGGTCATGTATCCCGTTTAACATCTGTGAAATTTAGCAGTAGAAAAGGCAATAGCAGAGGAAAGGCTCAATACAGAGCCACAAAAAGATAGTTAATTCTACAACAAGCACCTTGAGGCTACCTGGGCTTACCTGGGGCACTAGCATGTCCCCAAACTTACACAAAAACACTTTACAGAGATAAAGTTTCAAGGAGATTTCTTCAAGGACACTACCTGACACACATTCTCCTTGAGAGCTGCTCCTCCACCACGCTCCCCCTGCATCTTTTTGGATGAAGGCACTCCATGGTCGTTCTCTGACCCCTCTTCATTACCCTCTTTGGGGCTTGCAGCAGTCCCATGAACTGATGTTTCGCCCTTTAAAAAGAAATTCAGAATCAGGGCTGTCAGTAATTGCTGTCCCAACAGCATTCAGCCATTGAGCACAGAACAGGTTTGGCAGTTGATCTGTATGTGTTATCCACCCCGGAGAGAACATCCCCCAAACAGTTCCATCAAAAGACTTACAAGAAAGGAAAGGAAAGAGCTCTTAAATTATTATTTAAAAATAAACACTACTCAACACAATTATTTTCCTGTGCATAAGCCCTCTCTGAAGGAGTTATGGCTGAGGAAGAAAAATAGTGCCCTGCATAGAAACAAACTGGGTAGGCTGGAATAGCCTGAAGCATCCTGCATGCCGATGTCTGCTTGCAGTGGAAATGCAAATGAAAACTTCAAACAACCTTTATTGTAGTTGTCACCCAGAAAACGAGCCAGAGTTTTCCTCACATTTGTCTCAGCCTGTCCTAACCCATGTGAAATACAGGTGTGTAGGTACTCGAGGCCTGTGCTAGTAAGAACTAGCTGACCAACACCCAAGTGACCAGTGCAGCAGGGCATTTACACCACCACCCTGCCTGCAGTATTGAGTCCTTTATAAGCATCTGTCCTGTATGAGTATCACAGCACTGACCCCAACAGCTACAGCTGAAGGAGCATCCTGCCAAGAAGATAGGTTTCAAATGATAAAGGCCCAACCACACCCTCATGGGCCAAGTCAGGGATCCTGCTGTAACATTTCCAGAGGTGGAAGGGCACCTTTGGACAAATCCATGGGACCTGCCCAGACACTGTTAGAGGGAAGGAGAGCAGTGTGTGTCCTAGAGACTGTTTATACCACAAGATACTGCTGTCCTGGAGCTGCATGTGGTAGCACTGCCTTCACTTTTGTCAGGGCTAGTTAACACCCTCCTGCCAGCTTCCCAGCCTCTCAGTACAGCCTAGGCAGCACTGCGGCAGTCTCACAGCCCCAGCTGCCCTTTCAGCGTGGCTGCACCAAAGTGACGCCTTTAACTAAGTGTTTTAAGCAAGAACATATTAAGGACACTGCCATTTTTTAATATCCCAGCTCACTGCAGTTAGCTGACTGCTCTCAGTGCACAGCTGGCAGTTCCTCCTTGGGTCACCAAGCCATAGCCAGTGTGTGCCCAGAAAGACTACACCTGGAAGAACTTGTGAGGAACTGAAGCAGCAGCCCACCTAATGATCACGAGAGGGAGCTTTGCACCACTTTCTGTATGGGAGAGTAGCAGCCTGACTTGTAGTGCTACTAAAGCTTCTAAGCTGAACTGAATAGCCTCTGAACATATTAATAGTCAGGGCAAAAGGAGGATATAAAGATGTCCCCAAGTTTAAAGGAGTTGGCATTCTGGCCAGATAATGATGCTTCCTTTGACAAGTTTTTGTTTTGTAGTTTGTTGGGTTGTTGGGTTTTTTTTTTCCATTCCCTGAATGTAGCAGTATGCTTTTATTTGGGGACATTTTAAAGTGGAGCACTGATGGACAGGTGCACTGACAGTATATTAAAGAACACAATACAAAGATGAATGGTATAAATTGCATTTATTAAGCACCAAAAAAAGCAAAGTCCCAGCTACAAACTACTGCCAGTCCAACATACCATACAGTGAACAGCCTTGCAGACTATCATCACAATCTCACTGGAAGGCTGGCAGTGATGCAGCCTGCAGGAATACCCATAAGGAACATGTAAGCTGCTACCACCCTATCACAAAGCCCTGGCAGAGGGAAGGAAAAGGTCTCTACGTCACTGGTAAAAAGACCATCTAACAACACAACAGCCACCTTTGCCTCTATAAGCAATAGCATCTTCTCAAGCTAAGTGCTATACTTCTGCTCCTGCAGCTGTATTTCTGCTAGGAATTATGTAGTCTGCTGCAAGACAGTTCTCTGGCCCAAGCACTTGCTTTGGCTCCTGGAATGCTCCAGGAGCAGCATTGGTGCCCAGTGCTCCGAGGACTGGGTAGAGTTCAGGTCCTCCTATTCCTATATAGGTGCTCCCTCTTCTGCTCAGCCCAGTGACCTCAGGATTGCAGGGGTCACTGTAACAAAGAACAAGAGCCGGGTTAATCAGCTACTGGTATGGGCAAATGACATCAGCTATAGCTTCTGCTTATGCTGGGGCCCCAGTGTTACAGACAAGGTGAGCTCAGATCCTCCTGAGGTCAACGAGGTCCCTGTCAGGAGGGGCAGGGTGCTGGTAAACAAGCACCACCGATCCTGTGGTCAGTGGCACTAGCTTTCTGCTGTAGCTAAGGTTTCAAGACAGTGTTTTGTAAAGGGGAAGACATACTCAGATTTGCTCCAGACAGAGGTATGAGAGATTTAAACTGGATTGTCTTTCAATCCTTCTGGCTGCTTTCTAGCATGGCTGCTAGGACTCCTTGGTTTGAGTCCTGATGGCTGTATTTTACATGTTAATGGAATGGGAGACTAAAATGCCTCTAGGAGTCATATAACATTAATCACCAATTCCATCTTCAGATCTGAAAGCATTTGTTAGTAGCAATGCTACCTTAACAACTGGGCCCACACTGCCCAGTGTGGCACAGCATTCTATAGCCCTGCTCTTTCAGCCTAAACCCATCCTATTTGTTTCTGCAAACAGTTGGCCAGTCTGCATGTTCCACAGACCAGGATCTTAGCCTTATTTTAATCAGTGCTCTCAGAGCCGCACAGGGAAGGCAATGTCATAGCTAGGCAGGATGGGCAAGGCTAGATACCTGTGCTTTGTGAACATGGAGAAGGGGCTCACCATTCAAGGCCATCACTCTAAAGAACTTGTCACACTGTTCCCCCTCTTTCCCTACCCAGCACGAGCACTGCAAAACCACATACCTCCTACAGAGGGCAGGTGTCTCATCTTGGGTCTTCTTCCAGAGCTATCTCTGCTGCTGTATCTGGCAAATCCTCAAACGCCTGGCCTGTTCTCTGGCACAGCCTGACCTTGGCTCACAACCTTGACAACCATTTCAACAGCATTTTCCATCCCCTTCTCTCAGTCTCTTGCTGCCCTGAGGTTGTAAACTTGCACTCCTGGCTCCATAGACAGGCAAGGACAGAGAAAGCTGCTTAGTTCAGCCCAGGCAGACAAGCTTTCCTCTGCTCTTTTCCTCTGAAAGCAGCTGGATCCAAGGCTTCGCTGTGCTGTATCAGACTATTTCTTCTAGCACCATTCAGCACAAAGTGGCCTTCCTTGCCTGGTGTGTGGAAAGTCACTCAGGGACCAGCATGGTCCGAATTCCACATGAAAGCACAACTGCATTCCCATGGCACCCCAATATTCACCAGTACCCATACACTCACCTAATCCAAGGGGTGAACACTCACAGCAGCTCAAGAGACACAATCACAGAGAAATGATGCTGGCAAAAGGTGCCAAGCATTGCCTTTTGGTTTGGGGTTTTTTTGGCATGGTTTACCATACCTAACTTCAGGTACTTAACACATACCTAAGGCTGGAGGCAGTTAAGACTCCCTGAGCTTCCCCTGCAGTGAATGGTGAGCACAGGATTCAGAGCCGTAGTCTAGCTACTTTGTTGCTCTGAATTGCTCCCTCTTTTCTTCCCTATTAAAGATTCACAGAGAATTTGGTGGCTCAGAGTTGAGCCAGTCTCTTAATTAGTACCTAAGAGCAGACAATTTTAACTGCCCCCCAGCATTGGCAAAGATATTTGTACAGGCTTCTTTGAAACATGATTCCAGATGAGCACACTTCAGAAAGACCACTAACACCATCACAGGAAGGCTTGCATAGCCCGGGGGTATTACCCCACTTTATCACCCCCATCAGAAACACCTTCTTCAAAAAGCAGTAGCAGCAGGGTGGCTGGCACTGCTCAAAGTAGCACGAGGTTTGTGCTCTCCCAGAAGCTGTATAACAACAACAAATATAACAATATATGTCTGTAATTGGCTCCTGAAATACATACTGACTATCCTGACAGAACAGCCTGCTGCTGAACCTGGGCCACTGGAATTGAGAGGCGATGGTGAGATGCCCAGAGGTGTCCCACCTCTCCCAGGAAAAGTCTTGCTTCCCCTACACTTGGTGATACCTGGCTCATTCCTAAAAGGCAAAATGTGCTTGTCAGATATTTGTACACCAACTCTGCTGGGATGCAGAAGAAGGGAGTTGCCCCAGTTATCCCTTTCTGCTAGATGGCAGAATATAATCAGAGGCTCTTGTGAGCAGCCATATACAGTCCCCCCCACATCCCCTCCACTGTGCTTTGCTCACCCTGGTGTGCAGGGGCAAGTGGAAGAAGGGGTTGAAGTCCACAGTCTAGTGCTTGTGCTTCATACTGGTGCATACAAGGGCAAGATTACCACCACCACCACAGAAGACCTTTTACAACAGATCTTCTGACGTGCAAAACAATATGCCAGGCAAAAACCTGGTTCCATCAGATCCTGTTCTGATGAGATTCCATCAGATCAGAACAGCCTCTCTCCTAGAGGATTAGCTGAGTAGCAGCTTAAAAACCGAGCCTGAGTTCAGCAATCATCACAAAATAGCTACTAAATAGAGGTGGTATCTTCAGCTTCAACTCCAGCTCATGCAACTGCATCAGCAGGACAAGCTCCCAACTGACATGTCAGCCAGCCAAAGATGACGTGTCCTAGGCTCTGTGAAGTGCCCTGGGAAGTAGCAGACAGGTTATAGGGATGACAGCATGTAGCAATACCCAACAGTACCTCAGAGTGTGGGGTCTCCCCCAGCCCTTCCTCATTTCTCTCCTTCTTGGAATGCATTGCAGCAGAGGGATGGCGCTGTCTCTTCCGCTTCCGCTGCTTCTCCAAGAGCTTTTCAGAAGCTGGGATGCAACAGAAAGACCACTCAAGGAAAATGCAGAAATAATTCCCTTGCTACAGGTGCCACCAGCAAGTTCTGCACCTTTTCTGAGAGCTTCAGACTGGGTTCCACTGTCTTTGAAAGCAAATGGGCTGGGGCAATACCAGCCTCCAAGCAATCTGCCCTCTGTCCTGCAACCATCAGAGGACCACCAGTTCATACTGGTTTAAGCTTCCTTTGCTGGGTTGCTGAACAGTATCACTGACTTTCCTGTGACAGCCCCCCAACAGAAAAGAAGAAATGTTACCAACACAAAGCTTATGTTGCTGATAACTACCTCCTCCCACTGCATCGCAACAAAAACTTCCTCATGTTGATACCAATGTGACACAAAGGCAGATGGAGAGGGAGCACAATGCAACTGCACAACTGTCCATGGGACAGGGCAGCCACCCTTCAGCCTGGTCACAGCATGTCACCAGGCAAAACACAGTGTATTGGTACAGGACCTGTGCTGATGAAGTTTCCTTCAAGCACCCAGACCATGAATGAGAAGTGAACATCCTCTCACGGAAAGATGAGCCCACTGTCTCCAGTTTCCAGAGGGAAATCAAAGACATAACAGTATCATGAGTAAACAATCTCAGTACTTACTACTTCTGCCACTGCCTCACCTGAGGCAAGCACCCTCTGAGAAGGCCCAGGAAACATAAGCCCTTACACACACACACACACACACACACAGAGCTACAGGCACCGACTCTAATGTCACCAGTAGCCTACCCCCACAGCCCTGCCTCCACTTACCTTCTCCCAGGTCCGAGAAGTGGGCTGGCGAGTAGAGCTCAGAGCTGTCGCTCTCGGAAGGGCCCGTGCCCTACAAATACACAACAGAGTCAAGTCACCAGATGCAAAGCAGAGACGCATGTTCCTCAGCAACTCAAGAGCCTTTACAAGTGACTGCAACATGTAACTTACAGTTCAGGTCATGAATTCATCAGTGATTAGAGACTTTACAAGAAAACATTTGTTTTGTGTGTGTGACAGATCCCACATGGAAAAGTCAGTCTCTGGGCAGGAAGGAATGCCAAGTCTGATGTGTCTTGTGGTCACCAGCATCATCTGCTGTTTCCAGAGCTGTCCCAAAAACGCTGCTAACACCCTGTAAGCTGCTGGGAAGAGAAACTCTCTTCTGGCTTCACACTCTTACTGAGCTTAAGACCAAATACACTGGCCTCTACATTACTGGAACCATGATAATTACATTAAGACTGTGCCACACAGAGAAAAAGGAAAGGAGGAAAACTGTTATTAATCAGCCTTACAGTGGCAACAAGTCTTGTGCAGGTATACCACCTGAAACAGTTCTCCACAAGTTGCTTTTTTCCAAGCCATGTCACTGAATATCGAGTGTTTAGCAGAGAAGAGAAGGATTTTCTTTAAAAATCTGCACCAAGCACTGTATACGACATGTGATACAACTCAAGCCTCCATCCTGCTACAATTCTGCATTTATGTACCATTCACCAGCTCACTTGGGAAGGTAACAAAGGAAACACTACTCAGAGGAAATCTGACGTAAAAGGACAAAGCCTTAGGTTTAACTTCAAGCTACCTTGCAATGTAAGTGACAGAAAGCTCCTGCACAGAACATTCCCGCTCACACCTCCCCAGCCAGCATCCGGATAACCCCTTTTCTATATAAAACAATGAACAGGAGATTTTACAGCCGAAACACTCAATCCCCATTACAACTGGGGAGGGGTGAGGAACACATCTGGATTCAGCAGATTTCTTCATCACAACACAGCAAAAAGCACCTCTGGAAAGGGTGGACCTTTGCTCCTGGGCCACTGCCAACAAAAACCCACAGCCCACTGCACTGTCTCAGTCAGCAGGGTCTGCTGTCTAGGCTCGTTTTCTATCTGGTTTTCAAAAGAGCTGGAAGAAAAGTACCTTCTTTGGGGGAGTCCATTCATCCTTCTTTGGCATAAAGGCAGTGTCCAAATCATTGGATTCCAAGAGCTTTTTAGTGGGCTTCCTTTGACGCTTGCTTTCGAAGTTTCCTGCAATGAAACTCTTCACATCAGGTAAATGGGAGTTTTCTTCTCTTCAATCAGACTATTAAACAAATATCATCCAACAGTTCAAAACAATCTGCTTTACCCTGTGTTTGGGATCATAAGCTCCTTGGGTAGAGATGCCAATTACCTGTTTCTGTACAACTTCCACAAGAATGGACCACAGTCTGCCATGACCTTCAGGCATACCTCAATATGTAATACAAAAATCCACCCACAGAAGACAGACTATGAAGTCAATGCCAGCAGGTTAAGATCCTGGCAGCGCAACTGAAATCATAGTTTCCCAATCACTTTGATCTAGCATAAGCCAGTCTTACCACTGACAAATACAGCCCTGCCTCTACTCCCACGCCACTCACATCAGCATTCATGCTGCGCATAGTAAACATGCTAAAGGACATGCTCCTGGTTAAAATTACCTGGGAAAAGACACACCAAACAAGCAAGCTGTAACCTGCACCATTTCCTACTCCAGCCTTTTGCTGGCACGCAAGAGGTAAAGAGTTGCTAGACTTGGGCTCAGCCACACTAATTTTGGGAACAGTATAAACTTATAATGACCAGGAAATGATGACGCTGAGTGCAAGACACTCCACAGAAACAGCCTTCTACCCATCTTACCCTGTTCACCTGCTTGCTTTATCAGCCTCAGCTGTGCCCCTTCCGTAACACATCTCTTCATGCATTGCTTATGCATCAAACACCTAATGGGGGGACAACATGGCATCGTTCTCAAGGCAAGCCTCTGCCCACAGCTTGGGCTCTGCGGGCTTCAGCAGAAGGTGAGTTTTCTCAGGAAGGGGAAGAACTATGCAACCTCTGCATACCGGATGTTTGCTCCCACTGCTGCACACTCTACTGTTCTGCACCTCCAACCTCAGGTTCACATCCCCAGTTTTTCCTCCTTTAATCCTCTCCAACTTTCCATCCAACACCTACAAGTCCCCATGGTATTCACGTAACAGGCTGACTTCCCAGTACCTCTCTGCTTGGTTCAATTTTTTTGACCACAGGCCCTTTAGAACAGGAACAATGTCCCCTCCCAAGTCAGTACAGTCAGAACACCAAGGCTTTAACCCTGGGCATGTCTTCAGACACTACCAGAGAATGAGCGTACTGCAGAGTAGACCGTGATACTCTGCTGGAAAGGAGAAAAGCCCATCAGACCGCACTTGCTCTCTGTATACTGTGCCCTACTGAAAGCTAAGGCCCTGGCCTGCTATTAGTACAAGTCTCCAACAACTTCTACAAATGCTTAGCACCTCTAAGAAAAAAAAGCTTTTCCAGAGGGATTTCTGTGCTACAATTGCCTAAGCTCCCTAGGAGAGCAAAAGGTCACACCATGAGCAACGATTAGACTTTGTGTGTCAACCTCAGCACAGCAACGTTCATCCAAGGGGTTTTAACAGCAGCAAGAGACCTTGAAGCTGAAGGGATACCACTGTTTTCAAGCACAGATGCAAAGACTCAGAGGAAGAGTTGTGACTTTCCTCATTTGGACAATGGGGTATTCTGTGCCATGACCTAAGGAGGACCATCACACACCAGAGAAAGCTAATAGCGTAAGTGTAACCATCCAGCTCACTAGGTCACCCATTGTACTTACCCTCCCTCCTTTCCCAGCACCAGGAATGGTCACTGAATGAAGCAAAAACCAAACTAACAGATTAACAGCTACTGACCTTCTCACGCTGACCAAAGTGACAATTTCCACTGAACTTGTGATGTGTTCACTTACGGAAGCAGAATCACACAACCTCCCACATACCTGATTTCAGGAATCTCTCTTCTGCTTCTGGAGAAGCAGAAACTTCAGAAACATCCGACGAGGACAGCACCAGCTCTGGAAAACTTGAAGATCCTTCTAGAAGTTGACCGCTAGGATTGGATCCTAGTTCTGAGAAGGAGCACTCTGCTTCAAGGATGGGAGGGGACTCTTTGGTTGAAGATGGAGTTGAAACCAAAGGACTTGGCCCCCGCTGGGTATCTCTGTCAGGACTGCATCGTGCAGGAAGACCTCCTTCAAATTCAGACCTCACCACAGAATTCACCTAACACAGCAAAATATGTTGGTGAAAATATTCATCCTACACGGCACCACACACAGCAAGAACACTCAGCCAGCAAGAAAGCATCAAAAGCACACAGACCAATCCCCCAGAGTAATAACCATGAAGAGCACATTAGCCTTCACCCACCTTATGCAATTGCTCCTGGCCTTTCTTTGATTTTTTCTTGGGTGCAAATAAGTGATCATATTCTTCTGCATATTCCAGAAGCCGTTTACTTGGCTTTCTAAGGCGTTTCCTCTCTGAATGTACTATGAAAAAGGAAAGCAGCTTCAAGACTGTGTTTGAGATGATCACAAGACAACATTCACCTCATGATCTGTAGATAACAGTTGTTCCTGCCTTCTCTTCCAGAGGCTCCAAGTGGGAAGAGCCCCACTACTTCTTTCTCTTTGATAACAACCTTATAATTTTGATCTTCCTATTTTCCACAATCCAGACATGGAAGGTGAGATTTTTAAGGACCTATGAAACTTCAAGCAGTTCAGATAAGAAATCAAATATTAGATATCTGACAGAGGACTCCTGAAATTTCACCCAACCTCTCCCTAGACAAACTTCACCTAGCCTTCTTGCAGTACTTTTACCAAAATCTAAGACCATTAGCAACGCAGACTCACCACGCTACTTTTGTTGTTAACCCAAACTCCTTTGGTTTTAGTGCAGGGACGTGGGAAAACACTTTTTTACCACAATGTGGTTCAGTCACTACTTTCATTAGTAACACCTAAGCTTAACTCCTTCCCTCCCCCTCCTCTCTGGCATATTTTTGTATATACTACAAGAGCCCTGTACTCCCCATCTGTTACTGCAAGCCCATTTATTGCCTTTGCTTCCTGACAATAGATTCCACAATGAGATCAGGGAGCAAACAGTCCTTGCCAGCAACTCCAAGCTCTTCAGGGCTCCTATGTTTTTGTGTTTGTACAACACTGCACCACCACAAGGGAAACCTAGTAACAGGTATTTCCTTGATAAAAACCTAACCACCCGTGCTATACCACCTCAACACTCCAGTGCGCAGCAAGCTCCAAAAAAAAAAAGAAGCCTTGATGCTCTGTCTTTTCTACTCAGCAATCTGCAAAAGCAAGACGATGCAAGCTTATGTTTTTACCAATTCCCAGAATGCCTCTGACTTTTCCCCTTTTTTAGTTTTCAAAATTATTAAATTATATTGTCCAAAGATTTTTCCTAGTCACAAAAACACTTGTGGTCTCCTGGAAGTTTAGGAACAAGCAGTAAATATCCTCTTTGCTTCTTTTCATGTGTAGGAGGTGGCTTTTTCTTCCTTAAAAACGGAAACATTTTATAACAAAGCATTCCAGTGCAACGCTTCAGAATGGGGATATTGGACAAGACTGCTATGCTTTATTGTGGCTTTTGTGGTTAAAACAAGCATGAAAATGTCAAACTTGGCCAAAAGAGAAGAAAGGAACAACTTTCTCAAACATGGCTATTTTCAGCCTCTATTAACGCTCTGCACAGGTGTCTGGGTGAAATACACATTTCAGCACATAACCAGCTGTATGATTAGTATCCTCACTGGGCAACTATTTAGAGCCCCAAAGCCACGCAGCAGAGCACTGTGCCAGAAGGGCTGGCTTAACTGCATTTCTTTCCCACCCAAAGCAAATCCCATACAAGAATCCCAAATGCAGTCTGACTGGCACTGGCAAATCACATACCTGATGAAACCATATTTATAAAAATGTTTTACATCAGCAAATTCCACCAATCTTCACTTCTGCCTTATTTGCTCTAAATCGCACCTTAAAGTTTGTAGCAAAAATATGCCCAATGTTGTCATTCAACCGTGATGAAGACTTCATACAGTTTGAACTTAGTGGAAATTACACAGTTGTCACTGCAATCTGTTGTGATCTCTTACACTGTCACTCTGCTTGCTGTGGACAGGGATTAGCCAAGTCTCCTCAAAGCACTGGCACAGAAGAAACACCTCCTCTTCTGTAAGCTGCAGTTAGTCTAACTTCCAGCATCATCCTCTCTACTTCCTATGTAATTGGCCTTGCCTGATATAAAAGGAAGACTGGTTTCCACGAATGGGCTTTTCAAAGCATTAGAGGTTTACTCACTACCACCAGCACAGTGGGGGGTGTTACAGCAGCCCAGACAGATCCTCATACACAGAGGCTCCGGTGCCTCCCTATGGCACATCTGCAGATAGGACGCAGGTGTGCTTCAAGGCTCACGTGCTATTTAGGGCAGGGGAATTGGATTACACTGCAGCTGCTGATCTGTCACTTTTGCAAAGCAAACCCAGGCCCTCAATGTCGCTGCATCCCTGTGTGAAGCACCAGGACAGCTCCACACTCTTCATCACCAATACCACCTCGCCCAGGAGCCTGCTGCCTTCCTCTGTCGCTTCTCTCCTACCATAACCACCTCTTTGGCAGCTCTTCTCTAAATCCCTCTGCAGGCTTGCATCTTTATCTCACATATCAACACATTACAGGGATGCTCCAATTGCAAAACCGCCACAAAGCCCTGAAAACCCATCTGCATCTTTGTGCAAAGAAGGCACTCACTCCCTCCAGCAGGCTGCAATACTCCTCCGGCAGAGCCCTGACAGCCCCAGAGCAGGACCCATCCTCTCGCCTGCTCTGTGAAGCCTTAAGTCCTCAAAAACATGCAGCAACATCCAGAGGAGTCAGTGAACGATTATGCTTGTCGTGACTTCAAACCAGAACTTTTACCCTGTGTTACACCCTACAGGCTTGTTTTCTGTGCCTGTTGTAACCTGCCTTGGGGCAGGTCCTATGACCACTAAGCCAGGAGCAGTCTCTTCCACGCTGAAACAGAGGTGCAGGCAACAACCGCCAGGAACCACTAGTAGCAAAATACACACACCAAAATGTGCACTGAAGGAACACATAAGCAACAAAATGCACACATGTTCAAAAGTCTGTCAAATTATATTAATTTATGATACTGCAAATAGATTAGAGCCATTTAGTTTGGTGAAATCCATGTAAAAATCTCATTTTGTTGTTTTCATTAACGTTTGCTTCCCCAGATTCTCTGCAGAAGCCCGATGATGGTGGTATGTGTTGAACACAGCTCTGCTAGACCTACTCCCTACACACATGCTTTTTAAAATTTTTCTGGCCTTAACCAAATATCCCCATCTCTGTGGGAGAGGCAGGGCTGTCTGACCTTGTAATCCTCAGAAGCCTCCTCCTTCCAAGGTCATTTCCCTGGCAGTGATGCTGCCTTACTTCTGCCATCTTCCAGACCCACCTCCTGCCCAGCCTCCCTGGCAGCTTCCCCTGCTTCTGTTCTCCCCTTCACCCCTCAGCCAGACCAGAGCTGTAAATTTGGAAGTCTGTGGGGTTCCCCAATTTGTTATTAGCAGCTAATAAAGTTCCACACTAAAATGCCAAAAGCAGTCCAACACATCGACTTGAAATCCTAGAGGAAATCCTTCAGAACAAGCCAAAAAGAGTCTATGTCAAACAGCACTAAAAAATAAGAGCAGCCATCGAGGCTCAGTTTCCCACAATTTTCTAGCACTGATCCATCAGCTAACACCAAGCAGGTGGCTCTATGGAACACATTTTGAAGGTGTAAGTTCAAAACAAAAAATAAAAATTCCCAAACTCGGAAGGATGCTTATTTTACCTTTCACAGTGGAGGAACTAATGATTTGTAAATGTATTTAAACTTTCTGACCAAAAAGCTAAGCAAAATCCCAAGGTTGCTCTGCCGCCTTTGTTCTCCACACTTACAGAGAACTCAAAACACACTTTCTTCAGCTCAGATGTATATATCTCCACGTTGTCAAAGAGCCCCAAGTTCCATAACTTATGCTTTAAATGAAAAAGTATAAAATGTATACAAATACACACTCTGGCGCAAGTCCAGCTCCCTTACCTTGTGCAGAGAATTCAGACTGGGGAGCAAAGTTGCCAAGCTCTGTTTCTGAGTCCATCACACTGTTGTTTGGCTTACCACATACATTCAAACGTTTCTCAACTAAGTCTAAATGATTCTTATAGTTCTGATCTGTCAGGTCTCCCTCAAGCACCTTTGAATGAGGGGAATGCCTACGTCCCAAGCACTCATTTCCCTTCAGTGAAAAGCCACGAGAATTCAAGCCAAAGGCACTCTCCAAGTTTCCTTGTTCCCTAGATCTACTGATGTGCTTATTAGATCTAGCACTGCTTTGGTTAAAACGCTGCCATCGCTTTTTGGGTGCTACGTGATTTATATCATTAGACTCATCACCAAGAGAGCTCTCACTATTTGCCTCTGAATCCAAGTCTGGACTCTCCCCATTTTCAGCAGAAGTGCAGCTCTCAATATTTCTACCAGCTTCAGGTCTCCTTCCAATACGATCTAAATTGTCATCAGATAAACAAGCAGAGTCTTCATCAGTTGAATGTTCTGTTAAATCAATAGACTCTTTTCTCCCAGCATCTTCTGCTTCATTACCTAGAGGACTGGTAACCGAACCATGAACGCGGAATGCATGTTCTCCTGAATCTCTGGATAACCGACTTAGCAACTTACTTGGCCCTCCTGGTTTTAAGTCCTTTCTGTTTGAAACTGTTTTATCTCCAAGCTTTGATGACTGCTTAGATTTTGAACAGTTGCGTTTGGGCACGTAATTTGTGCCGTTTGTCCCAGAAACAGCAGTACTCGCGGGCTCCCTTTTACTAGTACCAATCCCCATCAACTTGGTTGGAGGATTGCGTGAATATGAGGAGTTGCTTATAGCGGAGTTTGGATTTACTGTTTCCTGGACACAATCTCCATTTTTTTCTATTTTATATGGGGGACCTACAATAGACAAGGACTTCAGACCACTTGTAGAATTGCTTCCAGAACCATCAGCTGTGCTGGTATTTCGAAATGGTACTATATTTTGACCAGTCATCAGTTGCTGCTCTTTTGTCTTACTGTCATGCATATCCTTCAACATCATTAACAAGGTGCTGAATTTGTAATCTGGCTCAATAGGCAAACGACCATGACCAGAGGCGGAAGAGAAAAGTAAAGGTACTGTGGCCTTTGGAGCACCAGAGTCACTAGCATCATCATTCATGGACCGGTAAGACAGCTCCTTCAGCTCTGACAAGACATGTTTCACCACAGCTGTTTCTATTTCAGCAGAATCCCTGGGTTTCTCATGCATGTTGTTTAACAGTTTCTGACCATCAACTTTTCCGCTTCTCTGAAGAGAATCTCTCTGAAGGCCAGAGAAACCTTTGGTATCAGAAGAGCAGCGATTCATGCCACCCTCTTCTTCTGCAAGAGGAGGCTCCAAGCCACCAACTTTTTCTTTATGTTTGCATTTTATACTCCTGATTCGGGGCAATTTCATGCTTTTCGGTTTTAAGATTGCTTGATTTGCAACAGCAGGCCAGGAGCTGTCCTTGGAAACACTTTGGGGAGTAGTGTGCTTGTTTGCTAGGGAAAGATTGTCATTTCTCACATCTGAAGAGCACTCAAGAGCTGTCAATGACATCTCAGCATCAGAGAAGCCTACTTCAAGCTCCCCATCTGCAAATTCAGCATCAAGTCTGCTGGTTACTGAACCTCCCAGAGGTTTGCGATCTCTGTATGACTTCTTCCTGGCCCTTCTGTTGCTCTTCTGAGAAAGATACATGGAAAGCTTAATGTTTCCACTTGACGTCATAGGAAATTCCTTCTCCATCTTATCTGAAGAATCACTAACTTCAAGAGCACTAGAGGCTCTCTCTGAACTTTGGTCCATGGTATCTACATCACTGTTCCCACCATCTGAGAGGGAAGAGGATGAATCTGATTCAGTTTGCTTTTTCTCAATACCAGCATCAGATGCAGAATAGTGTATTTGTAATTTGGAGCTGCACAAAATGCCCAGGGAGCTCTTCTCTCTCTCCAAAGATGCGCTGGAAAACAAATCCCCTTGGAAAGTGTTCTTCAGAGCATCACTTTTACGATTCTCATAGTCTGGTTTCAAAGTTGTCTTTTCAAAACGTCTTTCTCCAAAGGAGGAAAGTAAATGGTTTTCCCTGGTGCTACTGGATGCTGTTAGGCTGTTGGCAATACGGCGAAGTTCATGAGATGCATGTTTACCTGGTAGGTCCCCAATAATCATGTTTCTAACTATGCTGTCTGGTGTTTTTTCTTTGATTTCTCCCCTAGATGCTTCCCCTCTTGTGCCACTCTTTTTTACTCTAGTCCTTTTTCTGCTGTCAGAGCTTTTTTTCCCATGTGGCTTAATGTGCAATTTTCCTTTTTCACTGGCCGGATGTCTGGACTCAAACGCCAAGGATTTAAAACATCCATTCAACTGCCTGTCCCTTTCTGCTCCAGGGCCATTGGAATAGTATTCTGACCGCACTTCCTTCTCGCTGTCCAGCTCGCTGGAGTTCTGGCTGCACTTCTGATCCTCTGGCCCCCCGAGAAGAATGTCTTCTGCCTGTCCAACACTGACTTCCCATTTAGCCATAAATCTTTGAGGAACCTTAAAGTTGGAGGAAACAAAAAAAGAAAGAAAAAATTTGAGTGGTAACCAACAAGATAAAAGTGAGATTGAGGTGCACAAGGTACAGAACAGAGTGATAGTTGTACATTTTGCATCTTTAAGACAATCACATGGATTCCCACAGGCTGTGCCTAGCAGACACAGAAAATACTCCTCCTAGGTAAGTACCCCGCACTCCTGCTGAGCGTAATAAAAATCCTTGTGCATTCCCAAAACAGCAACAAGGTCCCTGCAAGCACAGGTCTCCCAGGAACTAGATGTCCTGGCATCCCAGCACACCTCAAACACAAGAGTCAGTAAAGAGGCATGCAAATGGTATGGATCCCTGGCACAGAAATGCAAAGCAACAGCCAACAAGCATCTCAAGGAAAACACAGTATCCTTTTCCTCAAAATATTTGAGCAGACACATTTGCTTTACTCATTCCTGATTCTTCTGCACCCCTTGAACTCTGAGCATGATTCAATCTTCCAAGTCCATCAACTCACCTTGGTACAAAGATGATACACACGCACCCTACTAAGATGCACTCTATTAAATCCAAGACCTGCATTACCTAGAAGTGTTCCAACTTTAACTTTGTGCCTTTAGTATAAAACAAAAAGTACTCTCCATACTGGACAGGAACTTCTGCTAACATCTAAAACCAGCAAGAAACTTGTTTCTTATCCACGTGTGTAGTTCTTGGCTGCACCACGGCAAGTCAAAGGCTTCACAGTTGCCCCTAAGATCAAAACCATGTCCAAGGCAGGAAGAACAACTCACATTTCTGACACTTTTCCTTTAACAAAAACCCTCACACCAACAAAATCTCATCTCAGCAGATTAAAAAAGTTCTATGGAGCCTGGTAAGCCAAAGACTCTCAGCTTCGCATCAGATTTTGGCTTCCAGTGATGTAAACCTGGACGTTTACGTGAGCAACAAACATTTGATTCCCCTCCACTGCAGTGACACTGGCACTGCCATTTACATACAGGATGAGATTCTAGCCATGCAGCACTTCTAGAACCAGAAGTTACTTGTGAGCATGTCTCTAGTTGTTAGGGGGCTGGGAACACAAGGAGAGAACAACTTAGAGAAGATACTCAACATGCCCTTGGAAAACCAAATGACAGCATAACACCCAGGGATTCACATCTGCAGGAACACATTTAATCTAAGAGTTTTGCATTAATGTGGGTTAAGTACTTAACTGCTAATAAACCTCTTGGAAACAGAGAAAAAATAAAACCAGACACCATTGCTTAGCATGACTATTTGCTCTCTTACAGTAACACAGTAACCCCTGTACTTTTTCACTTCAGTAATTCTACAAAGTTAATTCCTCCAGTCACCTTCCTAAAGGTGTAGTCCAGACTCCTGTGTCACATTACATTATACTGGCTACAGCTGATCAGGGCTGTTATGTTTGGAAACGGAGATGATATGATGAGCCGCAAAACTCATTCCCACAGGCTCACCAACAAAGCGTTTTCCAAGTCAAATTATAAGTCCTCACAGGTTTCTATAGAGAGAATTACTGAAGCAGGGCTAAAAACCCCACTGCTTTATCTCAGTCAGTGATCTAGTGAAGTGTGCAACTCCACCTCTGCTTCAGATCAGCCAAAAGAGGCTGCCAGAGAGCACAGGAAGTTATTTAGAAGCTTGCAGTAACAGACATCAGGAGAGGGCTGTGCTGCTAAACAAATCTCACACTGACAGAGACCTGACTCCTCTGCCTCTTGGAGCTGTCAAGGGCAATAAAAGCAGCAGGCCACACCCTGACACAAAAGAGAGCCTGGAAACTCCTAGCAGCTTATACACTATGCTCATAAGGATGTAAAGAATCCCTTCCCTGGATACGTTGCTACAGTCACTGCCACAGAAGAAAGCTGTCAAAGTGCAGTTTCAGGCATAAAGGAGTACTTTGTACTGTGTAGATTCAAAGAATCAAAAACATATTAGAGAAAACAGATCTTTCACCTTATGTTTGTAGCCTTTTTCCTTTTGCTTTCCTCTTCTCCGAAGAACAGGCAGCTCTTCAAATTGATGTCTTCCTTCAAAGAGGACAATAGCCTTCCCAGAAACCCAGGTTTTCTCTGAAGGTTCTCCTAAGGCATCCACATAGTACTCTCGATACGGTCTCCGATTGGAAACTATTTTGAGAAATTTAACAGAATTAACCCCTTGCATATAACAGAATAAATTCATGCAAAAAGAATCACAGAAGTAGGTAACAATTTGCCATGTAATTTTCAATGGCTTTTTGCTTAACAACATTCCCACATGAATGCCAGTTATGGAAATTTCTACTCAGAACTAAGGAAGACCCCTCTGATCTCTTCTGTCTCTGTTCTGTGTTGCTACTCTCTCTTTCTAAATAGTGGGGGGGTTTTCCTCACAATCAATTAATAGATCTAAGATGGGTTATCTGCCTAGAACAATGATTAGTTTGGCTGCAAAATAATTTTTCAAAAATATCCAAATATTTTTTCCTTGACACACACAACATACTGGCGGCACATCTTTTTTGCTACTCCCTGATTAATGATTAAAAGCCCCAGTTCACTTGACCACTGAGGAAAAGGCAACAGTGTGCCAGCAACAGCCAGAAATTACATCCTTCTGGATAGAATTTACTCATACAGGTTGAGCCTCCACCACCATGATGTATCCCATCCCATCTTGTTCAATGCTTTGTTATCAAACAAACTCTTATTTAGGGCATAAAACATTAACAGCAGTATTTAAGTACACACTGTACAAGGACTAGGTGCAACATGACAAAATATCAGTTGCAAGGACTGTCTTCATTTTGGGCACAAAGGTGTGGAGCAAGAGAAGAAACTCAATCATACGGGCACAAAAGATTTTTCAAAGATGCTTTCTGTGCAAGAATGCTGAACAGACATGGTACAATTAAGAGCTGAACCAGTACTGGGTGTGCTGGTGAAAAAGGACATCAGAAGACAGCAAACAAGGCTTGGACAAGGGATGTAAACTTCTGCCTGCATTTTGCTGCAACATGTGCTTCACGTTCTCATGGGAACACCTTCACCCTCTAAATACGTAGCTGACTTCACAGCCCATTTGGTTTATGCTGTCTCTTCCAGGACTGCCAGCACAGTGCAGCAGCCTGGCCTTCAGTGATGCCAACACTGAGATTCTGATCGAGACCATGGAGAGGTGACAAATAACGACCAAGGCAATATTGACAGACTTCATCTGTCCTATTTACAGTACTGGGACTGAAGCTACAGAGCCTCAACCTTTCAGCTCCCAAAAAATCTCCAAGAGATTGCTAAGAAAAGGCAAACTCCTTTAAACAAACACCATGCCTCAAAACCAGAAGGAGAAGAGGTTTTTGCACAAGTCATGAGTTTGAAGCGACCTGCCTTGTTTTGAAGGGCTCGTTCCCTTGGCAACAGGAGAGCCAAGGCAGGAGGACTGTGCTTCCTACAGTGCACAGAGCCCCAGCAGCTCCCCAAACCACCCGAGTTCAGATCCACCCGCTCTGCCACCTCAGCGTAGGAAGGGGAGACGAGCAGATTACATACAGCCACAACTGGAAAAAGCAATTTTCTCCAGAGCTCTATTGGTCTGAACACAGATAAAACACGACAGGAGAGTCTATCATGTAGCTGGAGATCAGACCTTGCTGGAATTTGTTAATAGCATGTTTCCTCCCTGCAGAATTCCTTTATTAGAAATCCTCATACACAGGCTGAGAGGGGATTACTGGACAGCTATATACATTAAATCCTGTCCAAAACTTCATGGGGAAGGATGGGGTGGGGCGGGGGTGGCAGGCAAGAATATATGTCTGGCAGATGAGAGCTCGAAAGGGACTACTTAAACCAGAAAATTATGTATTATCTAGAATCAGGATGAATGCCTCCCAGAGTATGAAGGGGAAGGTAGAGAAATAACAAGAAGACTACAGCAACCAGACTTTGGGATGATGTGAGCACAATTTAGGAAGAGCTACTTCTTGTCTCTAGAGAAACAGACAAAGGGTTCTGAGCTGATGGACACTCAAAAAAAAAGTCTACTCACTCTCAGCACTTGGTTCTTAGGTTGGCAAAGGCCAGAAAAACTGGAAATACATCAATGAGTGGCAACCTCACCAGTCTACAGAGCTGTCAGTGGCAGACAGCACCAGTTCAAGGGGTTTCCAGTTGCTCACAGAACAAAAAGAATCAGAAAGGGAAACCAGGAACAAATAAATAAGCCTTTGCATTCGTAGCAGTCTCCCCATGGCAGCTAGTATGATCCTAAACACAAGACAATCATATCCCCTGTTTCCTCCATCACTCACCTACACTTACTTCTGTGCCTTGAGCTTGTTAAAACTGTCTTCGTTCCCAGCTCTCCCCTGCATTCATGCGTGCACAGCTCTTACTTCCCCCCTCTCTTCCCCTCACGCTCCACTGGCTCTTAGTCTCTCTGACACACTATGGCCTAAACTTTCACATATGCAGCTTCATCTCCAGGTTTTTCCGATATTTCCCCATAAACAGTCCCTTGCTTCCCTGTGCCAAACAAGACCAAAAAAATTTCACTTCCTCGCACACATTCCCATCACACCTTCACGCATTCAGCGGCTACACTGTGCTAGCCCACACCCCACTCCTCAGCCTCTCCAGCCTCCCGCCCTCCAAATCTGGATGACTCTGTATTCTCACACATTCCAGACTTCCCAGCTGTACTTGCCCACCCATTGCACGTCTCTGTCCTCAGCTCTCTGACCCACCTCCTTTTTCTCTACATCACTTTTTCAAGAGGCTGCTGGGTTGCTCTTTCTTCTGCACCACCCTGAGCTCAGCCCAGCTACTCACCCTTCCTGTACTCTGGAAAGAAAAGCCTTCATGTCCAACAGCTACCTCTGCCACTTGAATCAGCCTCAGTCCCATTTTCCTTCCGTCACCTCCCTGATCTAAGTCTACTTTACAGATCCAGGTCTTACACAGTAGTGAGTACTTCTTCGTACCTTTCAGGAGTCAGAAATGTTTTTAAATTAATTAAAAACTGCAGCACCCTGCCATAAACAATGCCTCCACTTTGTGGTCTGAGCAGATACAGTACCTTTCATTTTTGAGTGACAGTCCAGCACTGGGTCATGACAAATTGTGCATGGCCACCATGGGCGTCTGTTGAACTTGGCCCAAACAAGATCCCCAACTTCATACTTCACTGGAGTAGGTTTCTTCTTGGCTCGGATCTTTGGGGAAAAACCAGAACACAAGAAATCACTAAAGCTCCAGATGTTTTTTAAGAGATTTTCCTCCCCCCTGTGCGCAGATTACATCTGGCCACCAGAGACATTTACATTAAAAAGCAAGTCCTGATTTTACTTAGTGGGTCCTACACCTTCAAAGAACATGATGGCTCTCCCCATCCTTCTGAAAGAACAAAACATAAATCCAGGTTTGAGAGTTTTTCTGTTATTTTTCAGTAAGGAACATGACCTCTGGTAAATGACTATGCTCAAACTTCACACATTGGCAAAGGTAAATATTCAGAGTCACTACCAGCCCCCATTACTTCACTAACACCAGTATGTTCGTTTCAAAGGTTGCAGTGTACAGAAAAAGTAGTAGTAAAAGACAATGAGAATCTGATGAGAACAGCAAATTGTTTATCAATTGCAAAAACAAAAAAAAAGTTGGTATGTACAAGCTAGTAACTTCCCTGCTTCTCAGATGTGCTCAGGAAAAAGCTTCACCATAAAGTGTTTGAAACCAAAGGCAGAGACAATCAGAAAAAACACTTATGTCCTCATTTTTAGTTTATATAAGCAGAACTGTCACTACTCTGCCACAAAAGTACAGAGCAGGAGAAATGGAGCACAATGGCAGTCACCCCCCCTCTAGGAGACAGACAGACTTTGCCTGTCTCCAAAACCTGCTCACAAATATCAACTCTGTATAAACTGTCACCCCAACCCACTCTGCTTCCCAAGGCTGCGCAGTGATCACAAGAAGGTCAAAATCTTTCAACACACAGAAACCTAATGCTGTTTAATGCCCTTCCTGCCTCGCTGCGGAAGAGCAGAGAGCAGATCCCGTGCTGTTCGCTAAGTACACACATGCTCGGGCTGTACGCTGGGCTACCAACAGGACCCTCTGCCAAGAAGAGCATTCAGGAGCTTACTGGCGATGTAACTAATGGAGCCAAGATGGGGCACAACAGGTCATCACAGGATACAGGAGTCCCCATGCCCAGCTGTGGGATATCCTGCCTGTTTACCAGCACCAGCCAATGACATGTCCCAGGTGGGTTCAGCATTTTAAGAGCTCTAGTAAGTACTGCGGGTATTATTCTTGCCAATAAGCATCAGCAATATGCTCCTCATTAAAGCTGTCATAGCACAAATATGCACCTTCTCACTTCACTTCTCCGTCCTGCTCACCACCCTTCCCTAAGCACGTCTCTTGCCAGACACAGTTCAACATCCTAGCAACTAAAATGCAACAGACCTCTCTAATAAATGGTATATTCTGCTTCAGGTTGAGTTTTATGGGTTTGCTTCATGTGGTTAAAGAAAATACAAAAGGATAAACTCCTCAGTTACATGAGAAGAAGCAGGTAATGACGTTACAGACTACATTGCTGGAATTTTTCTCACTCAGTCATCAAAAGCCACACAATAACTTATTGCTGAGCAGGAGCTCAGGACAGGGGAACGTGAAGGAGCACTGGGCAGGGGGCTGCAGACCCTCACTCTGTCACCGCCATGCTGCAGCCTCCACGCCTCCCCGTGCCACAGACAGGTTTTCTGGAACAAAAATATGCATCCGTGAGCAGGGGAACTGTAAGTGCTGCCTTTGCTGGTGCTTTTAAAATGCAGATTCACTTTCAGATGCAAAAGGACTTTTTTTTTTTGTCTGTGTCCAGCTTGTGTTCTTTTCACAAATGTGACTTTTCCATCATTTTTTTTTTCTTACACGTTTTTAAACCCAAGGCTTTTGGGGCATATCTATATCATAACTGATTATGCCAAATGCAGTGCACAGTACACAACGTATGTTCATCTTACTGACAACTGTAACCTGAGCGGAGTCAGCTGGACTGAGCAGTAAAACTATGCTGGAGATTTGCCAAAGCCATTCACACTGATCCACCTGAGGGACACCCACAACCCCTGCCTAGAGGCAAGTCTGCATTTAAATCAACTCTTTGTCACCCTCTAATAGCCCACACAGACACCTGATGAAAACGTGGCTTTCAAGAAACTATTCAGGCAATTCTTAAACAGTTACCCCTTTCCGATTCTCATTCCTCCCCATGCTGTGCTCTCCCTTCCCGCACTAGCAGTCAGATGTTAGTCTCATCATCACTCACCACAAAGCCCCACCTGTGGGGTGGAAGAGGCACATCAGAAAGCCCCGTATCCCGAGGAAGAGCTTTGCAGCAGGCCAGAGTCTTGCACTATCTTCCTCTCTACTCTCCCTAAATCCCACCACCTGGCCAAAGATGCCTTTACATTCCCACAGAAACAAAAATTCTGCTAGGGAGGTTTAAAATTGTAACAAAAAAAAAAAAAAAAAAAAAAAAAAAAAGGAGTGAAAGCAGCAGTTAATACAATTTCCAGGTACAGCAAGTCTCTTCCTTTGAACTCTGCTGTGCAATGCCAGAGTTACAGTCCCCAAGGCATGTATTGCTTGGGTCAGAATACAAAACTCATTCCTATTGCAATTAATATCTACTATGCCAAGATGAAACTACTAATATATCCTGATGGCCAAAAACTAAGCCTTGCAGTAATGAGGACTTTTCTGTGAGCTAGGGAAAGCCCAAGTTTTTTAAACACAATTAACTTCAGGTGTAATCCCTACCTATGGTCAGAGTATTGAGGGTTTATCTACAGAGCATGTGAACCACTGTACACCAGTTACATACCATGTTGTAACTCCAGGAGATACAGTAACAATGAAAGCATCAAAGCGGGTATGAGACTGGGTTAGTGAGGAAGGGAAGGGCAGTGCCTTGCTCCGTGAGCAACAATCACAGTTTTTGTATTGTTAGATCTTCTCCTAAAGGGTGTCAGTGTCTACCGTTACCAACTGTTTGGCATTAATTTGCTGTTCAGATGGGACAAGCTATAGCGTAAATTCTAGACCATGCACAGTATTTCAGATCACTTTGTGCTATTTTTGGAAAACACAAATACATAGCTCGTGGATGTTTTTAATCAAATCCTCTCCACCAATGCAAGACCCCAAATGACCACTGATTGCTGAGGAAATGATCACAAGCCAAGGTTCAGCAGAAGGATTACACAAACACATCTACCTTGAACACTACCTCCTGAATTTGCACTATGCCAAACATACCAGTCTTTGCAATTCACTAAGTGAAGCTGAGCACTGACACAGTATTTTCAAGAGAAAGCAGGTTTTCTCAGAGTCAAGACAACTATACAGGCAGCATTTCTGCAGTCCCAAAATTCTCACCACAAGACAAATATGAAACATACAGAATCACAGAATCATTTAGGTTGGAAAAAAACCTTTACGATCATCAATGGAGCACTTTCTTTGTGTCATTCTTCTCAGTGATTTTATTATTGTACACATACTGTTGGTCCTTGACTGTCTTTCACCAATCTTCCTCCCTTTAAAATAACATCATTAAAAAGTGACAAAAACAACGCTCATCCAGCAACCACTCTTGGCTACATCACTTGAAGCTGCTATCAAATCCATTAATCTTGCCAGAAATGGCACAAAGCACAAGTCCACAAACACACACATATGCTGACAGACACAGGATGCAACTTCCCTGCAGTGCTGGTCATCTCTGTAGCACTGCTGAAGACACCCCACATGCCCCAACAGCATGCAACCATTTTGGCAGAGCCACAGTAAGACCAAGCTACATGCAAAGGGGCAGAAATATATTGTTACAGGCCAACATTTTCAATATCATGTACCCAAAGAGCTTAGCCATCCAGAGGTTAAGCCCCAAGCTGCAGCCATCGTAGCCCCGCACACTTCAAACTCAGGCCTGCTTTGGAAAGCTATCATGGAAATGCTTGGCCAAAAATAGCCCTATTATAGCTTATTCTTGACTTAATTATAAACATGACATTATTCAGTGAAGCAAGGGACAGAACATGCTTCTTGAGAAAGGCTGGGGCAGCAAAAGAGATTGTGTGCAACAAGGATGGAGAAAAGCAAGAAGGAAGCCACTGACCCCCAAGAATAATGGAGGCAGATCCTGCCAAGCCTGTTTCAGGCACAAAGTGGACAGAATCAAAGCCAAGGAAGAAAGTAAAAGAAGGCAGCCATATCCAAACAATAATTAAACAATACAGTATAAACAATGACACTAATAGCCTTTTCCGCTGAGCATGCAGCAGATACCTGCCCAGGGCCCTGCAGCAGGAGCACTGGGTATCTCGTGAGCAGATCTCACCACACTAGTAGCTGCCAGGTAAGTCACACCCCGCGCACGAGCCAGGGCATACATCTGCGCCAGAGGCAGAAGGCAGCAACAACTCTGCCCCATAAGTTCCCAATGCTCTCTTCAAACCTTCTCATTCCTGAGGCAGCAACTCTTGCACTTCTCCCCTGGAGCTCATCTACTTCCAGGACTGCAAACAAGCTGTTCCCAGTATCTACTTCTTGTTAGTTAAGACCTGGAAGCCTGTTGAGGGTCAGTCCGCTGTCTTCGCCCCCCCCCGCCTTCTCCTTAAAGTTCAATGATCATTATTTTTTTCCTCAACAGCATGAGACAACAAGGAGTTCACCCAATTCCTACAAGCTACCAATCAACCTCCAGATATGGTTGAACTGGCTGAAGATCACCAGCTCTTCATACCAGAAAAAAAAAAAATATCTAAAAGAGCAAACCTGAGGGAGAGATGACACTTGAAGCCACCTAGGTAAGCCAGGCCAGTCTGCTTGAAGTAGTATCTACTAACACAGGCTTGGTGCCACAGGTGCTCCATGCCTAGGACATGCCACTCCCAGCTCCAGCCATTTCACCATCACAAAACAGGTTACTCACCCTCTGCCCTCCCAAAGGAGGGGCAGCAACTGGGGCAAATTCTATTAAAAGCTGTCCCAGAACTAGTCTGGAATGGCATTAAGCAAGCTATCCCAAAAGTTTTCATGAGATGGTGCTTCCCTCCAGCTAAAGTTCAACCTCACTAAGTTTAAGGCAAAGCAGAGCAGCCTCAGCCCTGTG